GTGTCATTAGAATGAGAGTATACAAACAGCTGATTGAAATCAATAATCCACAAGTGATGTAAGTAATCAACAAGTTGAGTGTAATAAACAAATCCATCATGAATTATGTTTTTTTTGTTTAGTTTTTTACCTCAAACCATTGCTTTCAGTTAAATAAGAGTCCTCTGTCCTGCTTTCTCCAGTGAAAATGTTGTGTTGTCTGAATCAGGAGAGAAATATGCACAGATCAAGCACTGTTTACAAGCGGTGGGAAAAACAGTTCAAAGCAGTTCTAAACAAATATTTCAGTGGATTTTGATGTGAGAGGAAACTTTCTACTGGAGGAAACGTTATGAATTATGGACTGGTATTTTGGCCATATGCTACGATTTTAAGTTTAAACTCCTTAACGATGGATTTGTTTCTTACAAACACACAGCTTTTCACTTCACAAGGTGTTTTGTGATTGACTGGAGTCGTGTGGATTATTGTGATGTTTTTATCAGCTGTTTGGACTCTCATTCTGACGGCACCCATTCACTGCAGAGGATCCATTAGAAATACAATGCTAGATTTCTCCAAATCTATTTACATTAATAAACAAACTCATCTTGAAGGTGAGTACATTTTTATTTTTGAGTGAACTATTCCTTTATTAGAAACTTATGGCTCAGAGTCTCAGAGCCTACTAAGTTGCCTTGACAGCATTTATGTTCGTATTCATGTGACATTAAAAAAAATAAATTAGAATGGTGGTTTTGATATTTATGATTGTATTCAGTTATCATCAAATCATACAATGTCATAATTTTAATATATTACATGTTGCTGCATGATTTCCCAGTTTTAAAAATGTAATGTTCCTTAAAATTGTGACACTCAAATAAATAACATAATTTGCACACAAGTAAATAATCTCATTCCTCCATCTCAGTGTTTACACAAATTGTAATTAGGGGTTCAAGCACGTAGTGCTGAAACCCTATTGTAATTGTAAGGATTTTTATTTATTTTATTCTTCTCCTGATAGTGCAGCCCAAACCGTAAGGCCTAGAGAGCTGAAACTTGGTCAGATCGTAGTAGTATTGCTCGCTACTCAGATCCAAAGACTCGCCCTAATCGGCCTAAAGGTGGCGCTACAGTGCAAAAAACAAAAATTTCAGACATTTTTGGCCCTTGCTCGTACACCGTTTGTCGTAGACTCAAAAACTTTACATCATTGCAATCCTTGGGTCAAGCCGAATGAAAGTGAAGTCCAACAGATTGCTCTACGACATACGTTTTTTCCGCAAAATTGAGTTATGTCCAAAACCTACTTTTACAAACTAGTTCTAGGTTTTTTGCCCGATCGGAACCAAACCACTTCAGAAATATTCTCTGGACAGTGAATATCAATAATTATCAAAAAAAGTTGAAATTTCGATTTTCGCGCGCAACAAGTCCAAGTCACCTTTATTTATATAACGCTTTTAACAATACAGATTGTGTCAAAGCAACTGTACAGCATTAATTAGGACAATATTGTGTCAATAATGCAAAATGACAATAGTAAACACTCAGTTTTCAGTTAAATGCAGTTCATCATTGAATTCAGTGATGTCATCATCCAGCTCAGTTCAGTTTAAATAGTGTCTGTGCAATCAAGGCGACGATATCGCTGGAAATGAAGTGCCCCCAACTAAGCAAGCTCCTTCTTCCCGATCTACAAACTACGTTACAAATAGTTCTGCCCGGACGATAACGCGGAGCCATAACAATCCATAACAATCTAAAAATAACAAAGAATAACAATCTTACTGAATTTACGTTTAGCGTTAGCCAGCACTTTTAAATTTGCCAAGATGTCAGGTGCTCTGGCTCCCAGTAAACATTGGACTGTGGTGGCTGGTGTCGCTATTTTCGCGTTCCAAACAATAGAATCGCCAATAACTAGAGCATTTTGATCAGGTTTCTCAGTATGCAACAGTGCGCAAAACCGTTCTATGCTAATGTTAGCCAATTGTTAATTGTAGCTATAACTCTTGAACGGAACGAAATGCGCAGCTCTGCCACTTGGTGGCACTATACGATGGAAAAAACATAAAAACAACTATAACTGTGTAAGCGTTGGTCCGATCGACTTGAAAATTGGTATGCAGTGTCTTAGTCCAAAGTGGCACAAGTGTCTATGAGGACATTCGCGTATCTTAAAAAACATGGCCGCCATTGGCCAAACAAGTTTAAGCACCTATTTGACAAGGTTAACGGAGGTCGATCGGAACTAAACTCGGTGGGCATGTTCGACTCATGGCCCTAAAGGTCTGTAAGAATTTTGAAAGAAATCGGCCTCTAGATGGCGCTAACGAGTTTTATGGCTCTGTAATCACGTGGTGCGTCACACATCCACACAATATGCATATCATTTGATAGATCTCCTCATAATGAGCAACTTTGCCTCAAGAACCATTGCTGTCAATCAAATTGTTCATTAAATATTTTTAATTATGTTAAAAACCTACTGTTGTGAACTAATCCTAGGTTTTTTGCTCAATCTCGATCAAACCACTGCAGCACAATTCTCTGAACTCTCTAGATCAATAATTATCAAAAGAAAATGTTGAATTTTGTCCTTCGGTTACCTATAACGGGGTCATTTAGAAAAGGGGAGTGGTCAAATATACCCAAAAGCCTATAAAACCTAAACAAAAACTCAAATCTTTACAAAACCTGGTGAAAACATGTGTCAGATGACTCTTAACAAGCATGCAAAGTTTCATGGAGATCGGATTATAGTTGGCGCTATAACAGTTAAAAAGGCCTCAAAAATACAATATTTCTATAGAAAATGACCTCAAATTGTAGAACATGTTCATATAATCACAAAAACACAAGATCTTTATATCGTATGATACACCTGCATACCTCTGCGCACCGGGTTCGCGCAGACAGGAAACGTCATCAGCTCGTTCACACACGCTGTGCAGACAGAGCGAGAATGGCAGACAAACATTAACAATCCGATCTTCCTTCCTGGTATTGTAGTACTTTTAAAATGTTCTCACTGGTGAATGACACGATGTAGCCCAGCGGTTAATCCAGTCCTCGTGCCAGCTCGTTAGAAGTGAGCTACGTGCATGAACTGTGTTCCAATCGATATGATCCCTACACCGTGTTCATTGCTCCCTACTCACTGAGCGGGGGAAATTCGTTGAAGTTTACTTCACTTCGGAACATGGGCTGGAATTGGGAACCGCTGATGTAGCCTATTGTAGTAATGTTGTCTCTGTGAGCGTAAATGCGTTCAGGGGGCGTGGCTTTTGGACGGCGATTGCAGGGAGGGTGGGACGTTCGCTTTCAGTGTTATCAGTAAAGTTAACATTTTCCAAGATCTCCTACTGCACCTTTAATTATGTTAAAAAACTACTTTTGCGAACTAGTCTTAGGTATTTCGCTCAATCTCAATCAACCCACTGCAGTAATTTTCTCTGGAATTTTGAACTTTGTCCTTTGGTTAGCTATAACGGGGTCATTTAAAAAAGGGGCGTGGCCAAATATACCCAAAAGCCTATAAAACCTAAAAGAAAACTCAAAACTTTACGAAACTTGGTGAAAACATGTGACAGAAAACACTTAACAAGCATTCATAGAGATCGGACCATAGGTGGCGCTATAACAGTTAAAACGGCCTCAAAAACAGTATTTCTGTAGTAAATGACCTCAAATTGCAATAAAATGTTCATATATTCACTTATACACTATATCTTCATATCATATGATAGATCTCCTCATTCTGAACAACTTTGCCTCTAGGATCACTGCTGTCAATCAAACTGTTCTTTAAGTATTTTCGATTATTCAAAAAACCTACTTTTGTGAACTAGTCCTCGGTTTTTAACTCCAAATCAATAAAATCAGTGCAGTACTATTCTCTGGACTCTCTAGGTCAATAATTATCAAAAAAAAAAAAGTTGAACATTTGCATTTGGACAACTATAAAACGCCCTAAAACAGTACTGTTCATAGGTTTGCTTATGGATTCATGCTTAGACATTATAAAATCACTGTTATAACATTTAAAATCACATTGAGTCAAAGTTTACCATTTTGTTCATACAGACATATTATCAGTTTTTACAATTACGTTGTTGGCAGAGGCTATTTACACTAACTCTGCCCACCAACGTGTGAGTAGGATAGTCAACATTACAAAAGACAGCCAGTAATCCTCAGCTCCAGTGGTGCAGATGGTAAAATGTATGTGGTGTATTCATTTTGACGCGATCGACCCGGGTTCGAATCCGCCTTTTGGCAAACTTTTTTCTCCCTTTTCAAATTTCAAATCACATCAGAAAAGCATTTGTTTTCAATGAAAATGAAGGAAATAATCAAAAAGTTGAAAATAAAGCATCGGGTACTAAATATCATCCATCGCTATTTGCACTTAGTGTAAATAGCATCTATTGTGCAAATATTTTATAAGTGCAAATAGCCGCTGCCTTACAACTATGCCAGATTATGATTACAGTGAAACCTGAAAATGACATATAAACTCTTAAAAATAGAAGATTTGCAATAAGTTTTGTCACCTATCATTTATTTAAAATATATTGCAACAAAATGTGTGTGTGCATGTATGTCTCTGTGTGTGTGTGTAAGCATGCTTATTGAGTATTAATATACTAGTTTAATCATTTCATTTCAGTGTGTGTGTGTGTGTTTGTCTGTCTGTCTGTGAGCCTATTCTCCATTTTGGATGAGTTTTACTGTCAGCCATACATCCAGGTTGGCCTAGAGTCTAGACCCTAAGAGCACACCACCTTAAAGTGCTTGAACCCCGGTAATCGCTGCTTGCAGCTATATTGTTGATTGCTTTCACCAATCTAAACTATTCAAGCCTGTAACTAAAACAATTATAAGAAAAATTGCTCAAGCACATCTCTCTTAAACCAACATTTGGCTTGTCCTTACAGTGAGTGACAGCCTAATAAAAAGTTGAAGGTAGCCATTGACTTCCATAGTATTTTTTCCATACTATGGAAGTCAAAGGATACCATTAACTGTCTGGCTACCAACATCCTTTTAAAATATCTTCTTTTGTACTCAACAGAAGAACGAAACTAATACAGGAACAACTTGAGGGTGAGTAAATGATGACAGAATTGAAATTTGTGGGTGAACTATCCCTTTAAATCTGCAACCATGTTACCCATTCTGGCATATTTTGTTTTTTAATGACAAATTGTCTATTCAATGTTTATTTAAGGTTTAGACAATTACAAAATGACACAAATCATAATTGCAAACATTTGCAACAGGGTTGTAAAAACTGCAACTAGTTAGCATATTAAACAGGTCATATACATGTAGTTTAAACTCTCGAGGTTGGTTATCAGCATTTTCAGAAGATCAAGCACATCATTTATCTGCCCATTTGTTGAAAAAAAAAAAAATGAATTCGAGGCTCTATTTTGTACCCTATTCATAGAAATGTCCCGGTATTGTTAATAAACCAATGCAATCATATATGCCTTAAGTATTTAAACCCACATACGACGCTAAGATTAGACGACACGGCGCTCGATTAGATGCAGGCCTGATTTTTCCCTCCTTCCTTCCACACGTCAGTGAAGTGAAGTGCTGCCGGTGGCCAATCTGCTGTTGCGCGGACTGGATCATAACTTGTCAGCCGCTCCCATTCCTCACATCCCTCCGCGCTCCTCATTGTGCTCTGCTGACTCAGTGCCTTAAGCATCATCCGCTCTCAACGCCACTGGCACAAACCTCGACCATTGTGGAAATTAATACGGATTCAAGAAGGGACACCATGGCCAAAACAGCTATCGGTAGGTGCTGCGCATTTTTGCACTTGTCATCTTAATCCATTGTTGCGTTTGTAAACGTGTTAATGGAAACCGAGTCTGTGTGTGCAAAGCGTTATAGCCTACCATTGTCAAGATGTATGATGCTTACAGAATATATACAATGCTATATTAATATGTTTCTTATATTATTAATAGCCTATTTGTGCGTACAGTACATTAGGCTATATATGCACATAAGTAAATGCGACTAGAATCCGCGTTATTGGAGGCACTCTACGATGGTAGATTTCGCGTTTTTTCCAATTAATGTAGTTTATAGCCTAAACGAAGTGAATGTCATTCCTATTATGAATTACAATAAATATTATACGTAAAATACTCAGTAGTGACATGTATGTATGATGACTGGCGATGGCGCACCTGCTCCTGCCGCCTCACATCATAATGCAGAAAGACCGCACCCAAGAAACACAGCCCAGACAATCTAGCCATAAAACCCCCACGAACACTTCCTCATGGAGCATTTCCCTCAAAAACTCATATTTAACCAGCGATTCTTGCTTTATATGTAATAATTAGACAATTAGAGCAGGTTTTTGTTGTGGGTGTCATCGTCCTTGTTTTATAGACACGAAGTCTGAGTGCTGGCATCACGGATACCAAGCTGACAGATTATTATTCACACTCCATTTTATTTTTAATGAACCTTTTTATGCATTCAGAAACCAACTAATAAGGCTCATGTGAGATACAACACACAGGCCTAGCTCATTCATCACATGCATAGTACTGTTTTAATATAACAACATCAATAAAACATTGTGCTTTGAGTCATTTAAAAGCGATTAAGAATACAATTTCTGATCTATTCTGGTTTTCCCCAATAGTGAAACCCACCCTTATTTTAATGTGGAGACATTTCATGACCAGATGGCATGGGCGGATTTCACTGTTGTTGTTGTTGTTGTTGTTGTTGTTTTTTCGGACTTTGTGTAGCCTGCAAAATTGCTGAAGCTGTAAAGTCATCTTTCCGAATCTATCGTAGACTTGTTCCGTCAGGGTTTATTGATCAGTGTAAGGCTCCCGAGCTGTGGGCCCGGTTGTTGATATTGATAAGAATAGCAGAGGAGTCGCAGGAGGCCAAACGGACGCAGACTGGGAGACCGGCCAGCCCTGCAGCAGTGGGATGCTGCTGGCCTTTGCAGCACCGGACACACAAGTATTGACACTGCGTGGACACCAGTAGGCGACCCTGGCAAGAAAAATGTTCCTGTGTGTGATTTGAACATTGGAAGCACGGGATTTTTTTGTCTCATCTTAGCATATAACTAATTGATGACTATCATACTTGCATCATTTTTTTTTCATCATTTTTTATTTTATTTTGTTACACTTGTGTAGTGTGTCCTAGTCTGCATGGTGTCCGACGGTAATTTCTTAGCTAATGGGCTGTTAGATGTGCTTGTAATCTGTAAAACGCTACAGAGGGCAGGAAATGGGAAGTGTCATTAGTGTGCCTCCTGCATTTTTCATGAGTCTGCAAGCTCCATTTGTTTGAATGTAGAAAAGTCTCTCCGTAGACTCCATTTGTGCCAGTTTTTATGCTAATATGAGTTTTCCAGGGATTTGCCTAGCTGTGTTCCAGCTGGTTTATTGTGTTATGCATTTCATTTGTTATCCACTGAGGAAAAAAAATGCACTGATTTTTCAAAGTCGGAAATAAAAGATTTGGAAATAGTATTTCAGTCTTTCAGCTTTAAAATTCCATGTGTGTGAAGTTTAATGGCAAGTTCTGAGTAATAATTGTTTCGAACTAAATTCTACAACTTTTTTTTTCTTCAGTGTATTGTGATAGTGTTCTAACATTTTAATCTTGTGCACTTAATTATAAGTGCTGATATTCAACTATTCAAATCCATTTTTTTTTCATTGTTCACCGCTGTAATGATAAGCATAGCCTTTTAAAAACTAGCTAATGTTGCTAAAGTAGCAGAGTTGATCAGTCACTCAGTTGAAGCATCATAGAGACAGACAATCAGAGATGAAGAGTATAAAGTGAAGTGGAGGGTATGTTATAGGCCCCAGTTGAATCCTCTGAAGAGCTGTAGAGACCGGGCAATATGCTCTGGCCTGTAAACTTCAGCACATTTGTGCTAGAGTAGTGGATGTGTGTACGACTAACAAGCGGCCTATTCTGTGTTGTTCCAGCATACAAGGAGAAGATGAAGGAGCTGTCCATGCTCTCGCTCATTTGCTCCTGCTTCAGCCCACAGACACGCAACAACCTTGTCTGTGAGTTTGAAGGTAAGTGAGAGAACTAATCAGTTTGGTTTGAAGCAGTAGAAAACTATATTAAAAAACAGAGGTGCTGTAACTGATATTTTATCTAATGAATATGTTGTTACATAATAAATTAAATTAATATAAAATTTTTATATAATAAATATAAATAAATAGGGCTTAAACAAAAGAACATTTAAAATGTTGATTATGTCTGGTTTCAGTTTTTTTTTTGACCGATTATACTCTTAAATTTATGAAAACGTTGATATTTTAAAAGATGAATTATATGTGGAAGCCCATATCTGCTACATAAGAAAACAAATTCATGCTTTAATAAATCATAATTATGACAAAAAGTCAAAACTGAGAAAAAAAAAGATAAATATAAATAAATAGGGCTTAAACAAAAGAACATTTAAAATGTTGATTGTCTTGTTTCAGTTTTTTTTTTTTTGACCGATTATACTCTTAAATTTATGAAAACGTAGATTTTTTTAAAACATGAATTATATTTGGAAGACCATATCTGCTACATAAGAAAACAAATTCATGCTTTAATAAATCATAATTATGACAAAAAGTCAAAACTGAGATAAAAAATATATAATAAATATAAATAAATAGGGCTTAAACAAAAGAACATTTAAAATTAATTATGTCTTGTTTCAGTTTTTTTTTTGACCGATTATACTCTTAAATTTATGAAAACGTAGATTTTTTAAAAACATGAATTATATTTGGAAGCCCATATCTGCTACACATAAGAAAACAAATTCATGCTTTAATAAATCATAATTATGACAAAAAGTCAAAACTGAGATAAAAAAAACATTCTGATATACAAAGCTGAAATTATGACATAAAATGTCAAATAGTGAAATAATAATTCATAATTAAAGTCAAAATGATAACATACTAAGTCATAATTATGAGATAAAGTCTAAATTATGAAATGAAAAGTCATAATAATGACATAAAAATGGACTTTTCTGATTCTAAGTCATGTCACAATTATAACTTAGTATGTCATAATTTTGGCATTTTATGTCAATTTCAACTTTTTATGACAATAATTGCAAAAACATATTTAAAATGTTGATCATGTCCTGCAGAATCTTGATTAATTATGCTGTTAAATTTTATGAAAACATTTAACATGAATAATCTATGGAAGCCCAATTTTTGCCACACACAAGAAAAAAAAATCATGATTTGGTAAACTATAATTATGACATAAAGAGTCAAAATTAAACCAAAATTTTAAATTGAGATAAAAAAATCTATAATTAAATAAAAGTCTAAATTATAACACAAGTCAGATTATGACATACTGGGTCATAATTGAGATAAATGTCAAATTAAGTCAGTAAGATTATGCGAGCAAGTTGAAATGATGACAAAGTCATAATAATGACATAAGAAGACATAATTATGACATGTCATCAGTATGTCATTATTTAGACCTTTTTTTCATAATTATGACTTGGTGTCTAATTTTTTATCTAATAACTATGACTTTTTATGCCATAATTATGATGTACTAAAGCATTTTATTAAGTAAGGTCATTTGACATTGGTCGTTGTCTTGTAGATATGGAAGTAAAGCCAATAAACAAAAGGGCCTCAGGCCAGGCCTTCGAGGTGATTCTGAAACCACCCTCACCAGTGTCAGACGTGGCCCACAGCATCACCTCTCCTCCAAAGAAGAGGGATATGTCACTGGATGACATCCAGAAGAAGCTGGAAGCTGCTGAGAACCGCAGGAGGGTCAGTGGGACTGAATGAATCAAAGCTTAATAGCTGTAACTATACAGCTTACAATTCTATTACCACAGACAAATGTACATGAATCAATAAATACTGGTCAACCACATTAGAATCCATTTAACCTTGAGGAACTGTATGCCCTTCTACGCCTTTATGTTTGGATGCTCATGCATATAATGACTTTCCTCAACAGTCCCAAGAAGCTCAGGTGCTCAAAGTTCTGGCTGAGAAACGTGAGCACGAGAGAGATGTGCTGCTCAAAGCCATGGAGGAAAACAGCAACTTCAGCAAGATGGCAGAGGAAAAGCTCATTCTGAAGATGGAGCAGAACAAGGAAAACCGCGAGGCCCAACTGGCAGCCATGATGGAACGCCTGCATGAGAAGGTGAGCAAAACACTGTTTATAATATTTATATATATTCAAAAACAATTGAAATAAACGTTGAGTAAAATGTTTTAAATATAATATAATTCAATTATTTATTTAATTATTTCATTTATTAGTTAATTTTATATATGTATATATATATATATATATATATTCAAAAAGAATTTAAATGAACATTGAGTAAATATTGTTGAAATATTGTAGAGGCCTAATTCAATTATTTATTTAATTATTTCATTTATAAGTTAATTTATATATATATATATATATATATTGGAAATATAGTTTAATTTTTCATTATTTATAAAATGTAATTATTATGTAATATTTCTTTTTGCGTTTAACTTTTTAGAAATATTATTGCATATATTACAGCTGTCAAGCAATTACAGTTTTTTTTATCAAATTACATGATGTGCCAATTAGATATTGTGTAAAGCATTAAGTAGACATGACAAAAAATTGCTTTGGAAATGAATATTTTGATTTGGCATTGAATAAATAATAATAAATATTAATGTTTTTACTGTTTAATTGTGAGACGAATGTGAAATGATACTCTAAATATGAAATGAAAACCACCAAGTCTTAATGCGTGAGTCATTCAGTCAACTGATTCGTTCAAACAGCTGATTCATTCAGGAACGAAGCATGTGACTGTCTTTTTGAATAGGTGAATCGTTGAATCATTGGTTCACTCGATTCATTCAAAAACGTGGATTCATTCAATAATGAAACGCCATTAGTTACTTGGGTAGGTAGTAATTATTTTGAAATATCAGTCTCAAATGAATAATCAGAATTGTGATGTATGTGATCCTATGTTTGTTTTGACCCCGTCAGGAGCGACATGCTGCAATTGTCCGCAGGAACAAGGAGCTGAGGGAAGAACTAATAGCGTGAAGTTATCCTCCTCCTCATACCCTTCATCAGCCAACCCGTCATCCTATCCTGCTCACACACACACACACACACACACTCACACACAACCACTGGTAAACACCAGTCAGAACATCTAGTATCACACTCGTATACTGTTTGAACGGTCTTGCTTGATTTCATAGAGTAATGGGAAGACACAAGTATTATTTTGTAAATACATCTTTTTTTATCTCTCACTCTTTCTCTCTATCTATCTGTCAGATTGAATGATAACAAATCAAATGTATCAAATCTCCTCTATACATTATGTTGATTCTTTCTTTATTGTTTGTCGATTTCTCAGTTGTTTTGGTTGAGGCACGTCTGGGTTGATCATGTGAAAGGTTTTCGATGTTGTGAGTAAGCTGCCCGCTTACGTTTGCAGTGTTAAATGATGTGAAGTTTGGTGTAATTGTAAAGAATGCAAAAAGCTTCAGTGCTCAGGCCCCAGATTTCCATTTTAAAACGCAAACCTACCCAGACTCATGAATATATAGTGCACTTACGTTTATATACAGCATGATCAAAAACATTTTCCTGAACAAATAGCTTGAAATATGAGTACTGAAACAAATAAAAACATGTTAATAGTGTTTCATTTGTGAGCAAAATGTATTTTTAGTTTCTTTACTTATTATCCTTGCATAAAATGAAATATCATGCTCTTGAAATGTTACGCAAATCTGCATGTCGACCTCGGCAAACGTACTCTTTTGTTGGCTGATGTTTGGAAACACTGCACCCTTTCTGGACCCTTTGGATGAGAGTCTAGACAGCTTGACATAGCCTGCGTTATATTACAAAAGAAAAGGAAAAAATAACCAGCCGGATCTTACCCTGTTGCTCCCTATGATCCAGGTTTTCTTTTCGTTGACCTGCCCCGTTCCTCTACATTGATTCAGGCCTTCGGCACTCAAGGCTGATGTTTGTCATCTGTCTCTAGCAGGAGTAGACATCTTCATTAGTGCAGCGGTGTAATTAAGGGAGTCGTATATCTCTGAATGTTCTGGCATCTGTCTGGCTTGATAAAATAGGTAACATCTTTACCAGCTGAATGTATCCTCATATACTCCCAACTACAGCCTTTGACGTGTGACTATTTTCTATTTGGTTGATTTTCGTGCGACTTGAGTGTGTGTGTGTGTGTGTGTGTCCACATTAGGCTGACACGAGCATTTGTGTCCTTTCTCTCTGGAAATGAAGTGATGCGGAATATGCACTGAATGATTATGATTTTAGTTGGATTTGTTTTTCAAATCACTGTCTCCTCTATAAATATGCTTGAAGTGTCTTCGGCTGCCAAAATGGTCTTTTCCCCCTCTCATTTCTGTGTGTGTAAAATTTGGTGAAAATAAAGGTTTGGGGTTCTGTGAACATGGTTTTACTGTGTTGTTTGCTTTTTATGAAGCTTCTGTCAATGTCATTACAGCGCTTCACCAGCAGATGGCAGTAAACCTATTATAACACATGGGCTAAGCTTATTAACAGAATATGCTTGAGAACTTACTTTCGTCTTCTAAATGATTTGTTTCATTTAATTATTTGGGTGTTATGGTGATGTAACATTGGTTTTCTTTTCCCTTCAGACATCTTGATTTTACACACAAGAATATATATGGATATGTATGTATATATATATTCTTTTTCCAAGCTTACACCAGTTGTAGTGAAGAATCATTTCTATTTAAAAAAGAGTTTCAACAAAATATGTTTGCTATTAAAAGTTAAGACTATTCATTTATATTACTTACAGATGGTGTAAAGCAAAGAAATGAATTCCAAATCACCCACTCAAATCTCCTCTTGCCAATTCACTTCTCAGCAGACAGAGAAAAGAATAAATTAATACCATAAAACAAAGTTCTCAGAAGTATAAAAATAGAGAGCCATATTGTGCAATTATATATATTTTTTAAACATTAAATATTTTTTTTAATTTAATTTATTCATTAATATAAAATTACATATATTTCAAATATTTTATCTTTACTTTTAGCTTTGTAGTTTTCTTTCCTTGCACCATAGTGGTATTTTAAACATTTTCATAGCTTTAAATTACACATTTGATTTGAATGAATGTTACAGTATATTTTGATGACTATTATTCTTACTTTAATGAAATATAATATAAAGATAGATCGATGTATATTTGTTTTGTATTGTCATTCTATTATAATTTCTATCTCAAATCATTCTGGCAAATAATCTTTTTATTTTTTTTATTTATTTAATTATTTATATTTTTTTAATTATGCATCATTTTAGTGGGATAAATAAATAAATAAATAAAAATAAGTAAATAAATAAATAAATAACCTTTTGATAGGAATGTTCTCTTTTTTTCTGTCAGACTGTCCGCACTGATTCCAACTGCACCAGCTGTCTCAGCAGCTTCCAGCCCGTGGGAAAATATGTGGTAGGCAGTAATTGATTCAGCTCTGCTAGTGCAGCAGAACAAGCAATAAAATAATCAGCCTCTGCAAGGAGCCTCTTATTGCTCTACATTTTATTCTTTCTTCTTGTATTTCCCCTCTCTACAGATTCTTTAAACTAATTATTGTTCCACTGAGTGCAAATATTTGCACTCAAAGACCTTTGTGCAATATTGTAGGCCTACTCCATTATGGTTTCATTCTGTATTTCCTGTCGCAGTTTACCACATACAATATTGGTGGGTATGCCACAACAAAAATTGTCAATGTCTCAATAACTTGTCGTGCGTCCTTGAGCTTGACAACAACTTCTCATGCTGTTCACAACTCGACTTATTGTCTGCTGAGGCATGGCATTCCACTCTTCTTGAAGGGCTGCCCTCGGGCCATTGAGGTTCTGGGGTGCAGGGTTATGACACTCTACACGACGACTCAGCTGTCTCTACAGATTAAACTAATTATTGTTCCACTGAGTGCAAATATTTGCACTCAAAGACCTTTGTGCAATATTGTAGGCCTACTCCATTATGGTTTCATTCTGTATTTCCTGTCGCAGTTTACCACATACAATATATATATATATATATATATATATATATATATATATTGAAGGGCTGCCCTCGGGCCATTGAGGTTCTGGGGTGCAGGGTTATGACACTCTACACGACGACTCAGCTGATCCCATAGGTTTTCTATGGGATTCAGTTCTGGAGAACGTGCAGGCCATTCCATTTGAGCCTCCAGCAGCCATTACCTGATGATGCAACCTCGATGAGCTGGGGCATTGTCATCCATGAAGATGAAATCAGGCCTGTTTTGCTCATGCAGAGGGACAATAACTGGATTAAGGATGGTATTCAGGTAGTATTGGCTTGTCACAGTACCATGTGTATAGTCAATCAATACAGAACTGCCCTACACCTTGTGAATGGTACTGTGACAAGCCAATACCCCCCCCCAGTCTGACAAAACAATTTGCTTTAAACATTTACAGCAAAATCAGAGTACAGACAGTTTTTGCTTAAAATTAAAAAGAATATAATCTATAATTAGGAATTTTCTTAGCTGATGCTAACCGGCTAGCTAACTATAGCTACCTGATGCTAACTTGAGGTAATTTTTAAATATAAAATCCAAATATTTTTATTCAACCAACTAGTTTTTTTACATTTGCATTACAGCTGGGAGAGGTTGTACTTTAGATTTTGGGAAGATAAATAATAATTATTCCAGTTATTCCTACAAAAGCACAGAAAAGATGTAGTGAATTAAACTCATGGTAACATAATACAATAAAATTGCTGAATTAATTTGATTATAAAATTTGAAAGTAGCCATTTCTCAGACTGATTATAGGATTGTGAGTTATGACTAAAGATTGCTGTTGATTTGCATTGTTGTTGCTTGTGATGGCAGGGACAGACTAATACCAAATGTGAACATTATTTTAGTTTGACATGTCAGTGAAATCATCTCCAGCTTTGATCCTAAATGAATAAAAACACAAACTAATGGCCCTCATGTCTGAGTATTATGCTCTTTAATGTCAGGATTATAAAACACTGCTGTATATTCCGTATATTGTAGATTTGCTTTACTATTAATCATCAGCAGATGGCGCCGTTTCTGTTTTGCACTAAACGTGGACAGCGGGAATGAAAAATCGTAATACATACATTACTGTGGGTTTGTTGTGCTTAGATAAACGCTACCAATTTAGGACTGATTAAGTGCAGATTCAAACAGTAAATTCATTGTTAATACACATTAAGAACAAAGATTCAATTTTGCATCTGATGTCTGTCATCTCAAACACTATAGACTGATGGACGTTCTTACTTCAACAAAACTCAACTCTTGTTTAAAGATGTCAAGTTAAACGTATTGTTATTATTATTTGCACAATCAACATTTTACTATATGGTTTGGCTTTTTACCTAATCTAATATTCAAAAATCGATCTTTCAAGCCCCCGCCTTTCAAAATCTTTTAACCAATCAAATTCTCAAATATCACAGCAATTTTACTGATTGGTCAGTGAGCGGAGATTCTTATCCTTGCACTCTTTAAATCTCCCTCTGTTCTGGCCTGAGCCTTTGCAACACTTTATATACACATTAAACAAACAAAAAAAATCTTCTGTTGTAATCCTCCAGTTATTTCTTTGTTTTTATTAAATACTGAACATAGAAATAACAATGGTTGAGCAGTTTGTTGGTAAATGGAAAATGACTTAAAGTGACAATTTTGATGAATACATGAAGGCTGTAGGTAAGATACATTAATACATAACTATGTTTTATTATTATGTATACTACTAATGTCACGAGGCAGCTTTTTGGTCCAGCTGTAGGCCTATTAGTTCACCTGTTGTAATACCAGTAATGCCATTATCTGTATTACAAGCAAATCTGTATTTGTTCACAGGTGCTGGTTTTGCTTCTAGGCAAATGGCTAACCTAGCAAAACCCAGTCTGTCGATTGCTGTGGATGAGCTGGGGTTCATCTCTATGAAAGCTGTCACTACCGTCAAGACCCTGGAAATCAAATTCAAATTAGATGAAGAATTTGATGAGACAACAGCAGATGACAGGAAAGTCAGGGTAAGGATTAAAAATAATAATATAATATAGACTTTTCTATTTTAAAAAGTGTATGTGCGTGTGTGGAAAGTAGTTTATTATTTTTGAGCATAATTGGGTCCCTTTATTTTCATTCTTTTCAGACTACTATGAGCCTTGAAGATGGCAAACGTATTCAAAAGCAGACCTGGGAGGGGAAGACCACAATAATTGAAAGAGAGATTCAAGACTCCAAAATGATAGCGGTATGTGTACAAGCCATCTGCACAATATTAAAACATGCATTAAACATGAAAACAAAACAAAAAAACATTAAAGCATGCTGCTAATCTTTCTCTTTCTCTCTCTTTCTCTCTCTTCAGAAATGTATCATGGATGATGTGTTCGCTATCAGGACATATGAGAAAGATGCGTGATGAAAGATGCACAAACTCTGGGCTTTAAGACCAATTAAAGACCTCATTCGATTTAAATTTGGTTGAATTTGACTGATTTAATGTGGAATATGAATTGCTTTGTTGCAATATTTTTTATTTTTTTTGCTTTGTAAACATAATAAAAAATACAAAAGATCAAATGTGTCTTTACTCAGTTGACTGATGATTTATTGGATATAAACAATTTTTGTTCCTATGTGACCCTTAGCCACAAAACCAGTCATAAGGGTCAATTTTTGGAAATTAAGATTTATACATCATCTGAGAGCTGAATAAATAAACTTTCCATTGATGTATGGTTTGTTAGGATAAGACAATATTTAGCTGAGATACAACTATTCTATGAAAATCTGGAATCTGAGGGGTGCAAAAAAATAAATAAATAAATAAAAATATTGAGAAAATCGCCTTTAAATTTGTCCAAATGAAGTTCTTAGCAATGCATACTACTAATCAAAAATTAAGTTTTGATATATTTATGGTAGGAAATTTACAAAATATCTTCATGGAACATGATCTTTACTTAATATCCTAATGATTTTTGGCATAAAAGAAAACATTTCATTATAAGAATGTCGAAGAGCCGAGGAATTGGAAAATAATGACATGAAATTACTAGTTGAGTATTATTACATAACACAGCATAACATAAATATAATTAGATAATACTATAGCAAACGCTTTCATTTGTATTTGGACCAAATAAAATGCTAATCACTAAGCTTACAAGAAAGAACTAGAGTGAGTTCCAATGCAAGTTTAGAGGTCAATGCAGATTTCTCATTCTCTCCTTAGTTTGTTCAAAGACAGCCAATGCAACATTGCAGCTCTAGAATAAATATCATATACAATTTCCATTAAGCTGCAATTGCCATGCAGGTATGCGCTTCCTATGGGCCTGCAGAACACCCCACACTGTTTCCCATGCAAAATTATTTCCATTAGTCTGTGATATAAAATTGAAACAGCCTAAATTTCACCTCAAATGGCTGCTATGGCAAGATGCTTGACATCCAATCGCAACCGTAAAAAGATATGATCCGAGCAGCATTCATCAGCAGCTCCTGGTGCCCAGTGAACATGTGATGAGTTAATCCTCAGCAGTCCAATTCCCAATGCTTTCCTGAGTCGAATAACCTCAATACCCCCAGGATTAGCACTATAGCAGCTGGAGTGGCTGACCATGCGCTCCTTGCAAACTTCTGCTTCTAAAATATACATTCTTCTTTTGTGATCCTAATCTTACTGAGTCTTATAATGCAATTTATATTAAAGCATGTGGTGTGAAAGAGGATTTTGATTTATTTGTAAGGATTAATATGCATTCAGCAGGATCGAAAGTATAATTAAACCAAATACCGCTTTCGGAGAAGCAGCAAAAACTGTGCATTGATATGCTTTTAATTGAGCTTTCTGGGAACCAATGTTATTATTATTATTATTATTATTATTATTATTATTATTAGTATTGTTAAATTGCATAAAACCCTACAAAATAGCAGTATTTCTGTATAATAATAATCTGTTATATCAAATGATGAAGCTTTATAGGGTCATGATATTGTTTTTTATTGTTTTTATATTATTTAATAATAATAATAATAATAATAATTCCTTTGCATAAATTCCAAAAATGCTGTATTTCTGTACAGCTTCAGTGTTATATCAAATAATGCAAGCTTAGTCATGATATATATATATATATATATATATATACACATATACATATACATACAGTATATATATATATAATTTAATAATAATAATTATTATTATTATTGTTATAATTCCTTTGTATAAATTCTAAAACTGCTGTATTTCTGTACGTCTTCAGTCAGTGTTATATCAAATGGTGCAAGCTTTATATAGTCATGATATTGTTTTTTATTGTTTATATATATATTATTTGTTTATATTTATTATATACACACACATATATATATAATTATTAGTATTGTTATAATTCCTTTGTATAAATTCCAAAACTGCTGTATTTCTGTACGGCTTTAGTCAGTGTTATATCAAATGATGCAAGCTTTATAGGGTCATGAGACAGATTTAAGTCTGAGAAAGAGAAGCCTTGAATTTTCTCTGTGGCATTTTCTCTCAATGGTCCATTGTTTCCTAGACGTTACTTGTAAGGGACACCATTTAAAGAATGTCCTTAAATTTTTCCATGAGCTTAAAATTCCAGGGAATTTGATAATACTGGAATAGATGTAAACAGTTTCCCAGTAAAACAATAATTCAAACTTCTTAAAAGTGAAACAGGGCTCATAGATAAGTGCTCAATTGATATAATACCAAGCAGAAGCAAATGTTTGCTATTTTACTGCACTGAACGTGTGAATCTGTCTGTGACACTAGGTAATGTGTATCTGATGTGTACACAGTGAACTTCAGAATTTGACAGTGAAAAGAAAGTTAAAAATTTCTCCATTCATCCTAATTAAATAGGACACTGGTAAATTGCTGTTTTGCTCCTTCAGCGTTAGGTATGGAGTCTCTTAAGGTAATAATAAAGAAACGATACATAGTAGTTAAAGATACATAGGTATTTATAATGTTAGCCGTAAGTTCTCAAAATCAAACAATATTTACTGCATTTGATGAATTTTCAACGTGAAACATATTTAAAACGTGATGCACGAGGAATACATTTTTTTTCTTACAACACTGCCATCTGGTGTTTAATTTCAGCATTATCATATTTTCAATCTAATCTCTTTTGCATTAGGTTTAAAATGTATTTTAGTTACGCAAATTATGTAGAGTTATGCACACAGTTAAACACAGTTTTTTTGTTGTCTTTTATTTCGAAACAGAACGATTAATCTATGCAGTGTTTAACCTTAATGTTTTATCTCTATTGAATTGCGTCATAATTTTGGTTTTATAAGGGCAAGAGCATTCTGGTGATGCTATACTTTAGCATCATATCTGGGGTGAAGATGACATAAAAAATATCTAAATAACATTTAAGACTTTAATATTTATTAAAACAGTTCCTAAAGGATTAAAGTTGCAATGACTTTTAAACCATTAACTTTTATGTAGCCTAACTTTTAATCATTTTTATGGCACCTACAGACATGAAAGGAGGCCCTTTAAAGCAAATCCCTATTACCATTACCCATTCCTTGCGAAGGGAACAATAAAATAGACTTTTGCAGATTATATATATATATAGGCTATATAGGCTATGTAAATTCAAAGTGAGTTTGATGAGTTTGTTTCTTAATTACCAGCATCGCACGTTGATAGCCAAACGTATAAACGGAATTTAATTAAATAATAATTTAATATCACAGCGATTTTAACTGTTCCAACATGATTAATTAATTTAATAAAATAACATAGGGCAGCTGGCCAAACGTTAAGTATCTCCAGTGGAAGTCATTAACTGACATTTATTTATCTAATTTACCATTGAATTACTTTTTTAATATGCAAAGCAAAAGCAAAGTGTGTAGCATACTTAAAGATTATTTTCTTTTAGAAACACGGTAACCATTTCCGCCAAAAGTGTCTGTTGTGTGTGGAAAAGTACCTTAAGTTCCAAAAAGTCATGCTTAAAATAAGACCACCTTTCCTTTACGTATGTTTCTCAGCGCTCGGTACTTTTCTAACGGGAGCGCAAGTGATGGGGCTTTTATTTTGAAATACTCAATTTTAGCGAAGGCAACGGCGTGATTGAGGAAGGCTTCACGGCGGCCGAGGACCGTTCACAACAAAGGCGAGAGGCAGATTTTTATTTAGAGTCAACAGTTTCATCAGATAAGCGCTAAATTATTCAGGGTCAGAAAGAGGAAAAACGACCGCTATCGTCGTGCTAACTGGGTAAGTAGGTTATGTACATTTTGTTGTGCTTCATCGGAGAAATGACTTGTTTGGAACGACATGCAGTATTATTAATACGCTTATATGTCACAACAACAAATCGACTGGTTGCATTTATTTGTTATAGTTATGCATATAAACACTCTGTATCTCTCTCTATCTGATGTAACATCTGGATAATGTCACGTTTCCAAGCTAACTCAGTTATCATGAATGATCTGAACATAAACGAGCTAGAAAAGCGGACAGCTCCTGTATTGATTTTATAATTACAAGTAACAGATGCGCCATAAGGAATGCATGGAAAATAAAACCATCCAGCTATTAGAAACAGTGGCCGGCTACTCAGCTGAAAACACGCCCCGGTGACTATTTTTGTCAACGTAAATAATAATGTTTTGCAACACATGACTGCACAGTCCAGTGGCTATTTTCTCGTGATTTGAGTGTGTAATCTATGTAATGTGTATGTAAATAACAGAGGCTGTAAACACGTCGCCCAGCCCCTTCTAGGAAATCGACGTTTGGCTATAAACAGCGCAAAGAATCTGGAGCAGCACACACACAACAGCTGACTTCCTGCATGCTGAGCATTTCACTCTCCAACCGGGGAAATTAAACGTTAACGTATCATAATACCCTTGCAAAAGTTACCATGGTAACCATAGATTCCGCGCCAAAATGCCATAGTTACTACAGCTATTGTTGCTACCTTAGAGCTGTAATAGATTTAATATGACATATGCTTCGAACTGTGACAGAAGTGTTTCTGTGATCTTTCTTTTGCGGCTTTTGTGCTAATAAAAAAATTAAACATAGAGAAACACTTTTGAGAATTTTTATTTAAATGATCCACATAAGATGAAGGGCCAACATAACTTGGGCTTCTAGAAAAAGCTGTTTTATTCTACATGAAGAGGGTCGCCCACTTGTGGCTGCTGCCATGCTTACATCACGTGATTAACCTTATGCAATTGACAGAGATGGCAATAATAATTAAAAGCTTATTTTGCACACAGAAATGATTGAAATTGAATCCAAAAATGTACATGATATGAATGCATGTAGTATGAGATGTGAAATGGAGCAAAACGAACAAGACTTGTCCATTTTGCTCCATTTCACATCTCATACTACACGTATTCAACAAGTACAGCTGGTACTAAACAACTAATAAACAAAAACTTAGTGAGTGCACTTTTTTTTGTGGGGGGTTTTGAAATTATTGTGGTTTTATGTAATACTAACTCTCAAATTCATAACATAACTCTCGTTTTATAGTGGAAATTATGGTTACCATTTCAATATATTTTTGTAAGGTTAGACATGACAAGTGTATTACAATGCCCTGCAGATCTGGGGCACTTTGATATAAAAAGAATAGAATGATGTGTGTGTTTTAATCTATCATAACCGACTGGCTTTCAGGTTTCTAAATGTTTAATGATTGAATTAAACATATTTTTGTAAATTTGGCCAATGAGAAGCTTAAAGAGATTGTTTATTCAAAAATGAAAATTCTTCCATCATTTACCCACCCTCATGTCATTCCAAAACGGCATGACTTTCATTCCTCTGTGGAACATAAAAGAAGATATTTTGGGAAATATTCTTAAAATCGTATATTTTTTTACATTTATTTTAGCCTTTTTTTTTATTAGGATAGGACAGTATATACTGACAGGAAATGAGGAGGGGGGGATGGGGGGGTCAGGATTGGGAAAAGACTGTGAGCCGGGACTCTAACTCGGGTCACCCAAAGCACAGTGTATGTGTGTATGTATATAAGGCTGTATGTTGGCACGAGGCTATCGGCACCGACCTCAGTGTTTTTTTTTTTTTTGGTCCATAAAATAGAAGGGTCATTCCGTGTCAAATCAACCAAATTTCAGAATTTGCCCCGGCTCAAATTTTTTCTTTTGTCAATATTTTTTCTGAAGAAAGATAAACATGTATAGTGATAAAAGCCAAAATATTAAATGTCATCGCTGAGTAATCCACTATTTTGTGGGGGTGGGGGTCAAAATGACAATTTTAGCAATCTTTGTTGCATTATATGGCAGTGGTGACTGTTCAAAAATGGGGAAAAAAACACTTTTCAGTGTGTATCAGCCATATGCAAAGTGACCAGATTTGGTTTTCAACATCAAAAATGGGTAAAGTTCCACAAATTGAACATTGAGTCACATTGGGCTATGTCTCTGGGATTGAACCATACAGGGCCTTAAAAATGGAGATTACAAAAAGAAAAGTTTATTAAGAACTTTACTAAGAAGTTTATTAAGAGAGTTTTTAATACTTCCTGATTTACAGGCACTCAAACTTTGGAAAAAGAATATTTATGGCACTCGGACAGGCATGTTCTCCACTATTTTTTTCATACAGGGAAACAAGATTAGGGCTGCATGATAAATCGCATGCAATTGTCAAGCACATCTCGTCAGTAAAGCCGGTTCTGTGATTAGTAGTAAATCTCCATCATGTGCATTCAGATGGAGCGGCATTTACTACACAGAGCCGTAGTTCACTGACAAGCTACGCAATATCGCATTCATTATCGCAGGCGATTAATCTGCGATTATGAACGCGCTATTGCGTAGCTTGTCAGCGAGCTACGGCTTCTCCAACATTTTATATTTCACAGAAGAAAGAAAGTCAAACAGGTTTGGAACAATGTCAAGATGAGCAAATTGTGACAGAATTGTCATTTTTACCTGCACCATCCCTTTAATGTTTTGACACCCCTCTTTAAAATATAGTTCACACTTATCGTTCTGTATAAGCCAATGCAAGGTTAAAAAGGTTAACCATGAAACTAGGCCAGACGAGTTGTGTTTTACCCATGAGGTTGCCGGTCTGTGATGAAATTGAGTCAGTTTTTGTAAATGGCCCTATTTATTTTTTCTGCTGTTGGGATACTATATTCATAAAGTCGGTGTAAATATGAATACAGCTGACACCTCAGGTGTCCATGTTGACAGATGGCATTTGTGGGGGCATAACTTTTGCCCTGCTGAATCCTGCCCCTCGACAGAACCTGCTCGCAGTATGTCGACAGCATTTGGCAAAGGGAGCCGGAAGCCCCTAGTGTTCCTGGAGGAAGTCTGTTTCGTTCCTCACAAGCTCCTGTGGAGAATTAGTCAGTGTGTTGAGACAATTAGCCATCTGCTTCTGATCCAAGACCTGTTTTCATTTTTCTCTCTGGAAGGTTGACAAGGATTGGCGTAGATGCGCTGGTTTTAGATCAGCTCTTAGAAGCGGCTACGCTATTGCAGGTCTTCTAAAGGGCACACATGTGAAGTGGGACATGTTTAGCATCTGCTTCTGTCAGGCCTCTCATGTGGTTAAACGCGTGATTTTGTTTTGTAAGTGCTGTTTGGTTATGGTGGAGAGTCAGTTTGCTTCTAATAAGCACTTCAGGCCTGTTCCTGCAGATTTGTACTGCACGTGGTTGTAAAGGTTATACATTTATCACAACTTCAAATAGGATTTATTTTCCTTTGGCTTGTGTTTTGCTTATTAACATGCCTTGTGGTGGAGTTGGAGATTTTTCCGATGTTTACTATATGATGTAGCTGACTCCTATCTGATGAAGTACAGTGGACACATTCTTTGCTTTATTCTTATTTCCAGGAAGCACACAATGTCGGCTATCTGTGGACCCACCGGCTGAAGAGGTCTGATCGTTCTGGAGACCTGAGAAGCGAGAGATGGGGAACACGGCCACCAAGTTCCGCAAAGCACTGATCAGTGGAGATGAGGTTCTGGGCTATCAGCTCTACGAGGGCAACCCTCAGTTCAAAGAGTCTCTGGACCCCAACACCTCATATGGGGAACCGTACCAACACAACACCCCGCTCCATTATGCTGCCAGACATGCCATGACGCGCATACTCAGGTAAGACATGGCTTTCAGTAATATTTAGTATTTTGCCATTCTGCTTATTTTTCATTTAAACTATCATTACCGAATGGCTTTCTGACTTCCAGATGTTTAATGATTTAATGTTTAACTTAATGGTTTTGTTTCTTATTTTCATGTAAATTTTCATTCAAAAATAATAAAAAAAATCTGTCATTATGTGCTCACCCTCATGTTGTTTCAAAACTGTAAGACTTTATTTCTTCTGTGAAACACAAAAGAAGATATTCTGAGATATTTTCACAGTTTTTTGCATTTCATAGTTTTTATTTATCTGTAGCTGTGATTAATGTGTTAATAGCACTGTTTTGTTGTCATCCATAAATTTATTAAAATACATTAAAAATGCAACTTACATGCAACAGCTTGAATAAACCTTCTATGATATGCATATTTTCAATTTCTGAATTAAAATTAATTTTGATATTTTTTGGGTATAGACTACAAACCATATTAGGTAGTCTGGCATAGGCTTTTAATATTATTTCTTATAAAAATATTCTGCTTCCCTGCTTATTAAAATGTTAATATAAATTTAGGAATTGTTAAAAACATCTGTCTGCCAAATCATGGGCTCCAACATGAAAAAATGCAAAAGAAAATTTTACGCAAGAAATTATACCATAAAGATGACCTGAAGACCATTATGACTCTGTCAATAAGTGTTTTAAAATATCTTAAAATACATTTTCATGACAAGACGATGTTAGTTAAATGTGATGTGGTGCAGCTACCTGAAGATGTAATGATATTTATGAATTAAGAATTCATTAGAATTCATACTTGTTTAAACATGTTTAAACACAATAAATATACGCAACACATTATTCAATGCTTTTTACTTTTGCATTTACTTCTAGATTTATATATTAAAGGGGTCATATGATGTTGCTAAAAAGAACATTATTTTGTGTATTTGGTGTAATGAAATGTGTTTATGCTGTTTAAGGTTAAAAAAACACATTATTTCATTTGCGTATTTTGAGAGAGAAAGAGAAAGAGAGAGAGAGAGAGCGCGTGGCGATTCACTCACGCTGTTTATGAAGTTACGTCTCACACAAGGTTTTCAAATTACTTTATAAGTTATTTAATGAAGAAATATAGCATTATAATTATTTTACCCGCGCCGGACAGAGATTAAGACGGTGCCGCTGCATGCCATGCCAAACCTTTCGGCAGCATCATCAGCTTGAGATCGGTTTTTTGAGATCGGCCTTTATCGGCCGATAGTGATCGGTAGCCGATCAATCGGAGCACCCCTTAGTGGTTTAACCGTATTTAACGAAGCTATGAGAATACTTTTTGTGTGAAAAGAAAACAAAAATGACTTTATTCATCAGTTCTTCTCCCCTGAGTTACTGTCTTCTGCCATTTTGGGTAGAGCCATGCCGCGTTGTTTGTTGTGTTGTTTACATACAGTGTAAAGCACGCGCATGCGTCGTGGTACTCTCCAAAATGGTGGCAGACGGGATGAGGAGGAGAAGTATTGTTGAATAAAAAAGTATTCTCGTAACTTCGTAAAATTCCTATTGAACCACTGATGTCACAAACTGTTTTACCTATGTCCTTACTACGTTTCTGGGCTTGGGAACATTTCAGTTGCATTGATGTCTATGCAGGGTCAGAAAACTCTCAGATTTCATCAAAAATCTTATTTGTGTTTCGAAGATGAACAAAGGTTTTACGGGTTTGGAACCACATGAGGTAATTATAAGTAATTAACGAGTAGGCCTAATTAATGACAGAATTTGCATTTTTGGGTGAACTATCCCTTCAATACCTCATGACATTTAACTATTACCTTTTTTGGAAATGGTATATATATTTTCAAAGCCATATGAAACCAACATGAATACAGAGAGAAGATTTTGAAGAATTTGGTTTTAAGCAAAATTATTCCATTTCCTTATTGCAGACACTCTTATATTTCAGTGACCCGCAAAACATTTGAATCTGACACACACATCTGTCAGGCTCCAAGCAGAATTTTATAAATGATACAACATTTCCTTGGTTCTTAAATGCTTTCAAACTGTTAGAAGTACTCCGATCATGTACACAAATCATTACATTCTGCTGTTTTTCCTGCCCAGTGTGAAACTCTTTGGCCTAAAAAGTGTGGAATTTTAGGGGCCGATCTTTGAAAGTTATTTTAAGGCAAAACAGCTGTTTCAACTGCAAATGTGCTGAAGATTCTGGGTCTGAATCAGCAGGCCAGTGTTGCTCAAAATGTATAGTTGTTGGAAAGAGACTCATGTTAGTTTGCTTTTGGAAAGTTATATGTTCTGTATGGGGGTGGTGTAAAAATAATCATTGGCATATTGTTATTGTCAGAATTTCATTATCAATACATCCCTAAAATCTGGTTTCTTAAACCAAAACCAATTGAGAACCTATGACTGCTAATTTTTTTTCATTTGTCATCCACCATGCCATAATTTCACAGGTCCTTCCTCTTCAGCAAGGACGGGAACCCCAACAAACGTAACATGCACAATGAGACCACACTGCATGTGTTATGCATGGGGCCAAATATCTTGCTATCTGAAGGGGTGCTGCAGCCGCGACTAGCCCGTCCCTATGAAGATGAACGCAGACGGGCTGAGTGCCTCCAGATGATCCTAAAGTGGACCGGTGCCAAACTGGACCGTGGTGAATATGAGAGTGCTGACGTCAGTGCCACCGATAACAAGAAAAACACACCACTACACTACGCTGCTGCCTCAGGGATGAAGACGTGTGTGGAGGTACATGTAGCACGATTATCAAACACTGTCGATACATACAGACACAGTTGTGTGTCCAAAATCATTCTGATTCACTCTTTCCATATAGTGAACTCGATATAGTGAATAGGAAACAATTTTTGGACACAGCACCTGACTACACCAGAATAGGTGCAGCACTAGCAATCTCTCTGTAATGGCAAAACTGTGGAGACATTTTAATCGTTCATGTTAATTAATATCATATTGCACACCCCTATCTACATTTCATTGGGTTACCTTTTTTGACCACCTGGCTAGTTGGCACAAGGTGATTTGAAATTGAGATCCCTGATCTGGAACATTTGGGAATCTTTGTTTTGACAATAGAAATGATTAAACAGTTTTTATTCTAAAAAGTGTTTATTGGGTAACACTTTATAATAAGGTTCAATAAGGTTAACATTAGTTAATACATTATACATAAATGCATTGAACAGCATGCCTTTCTTTTAATTATTTTATAGGTAATGTTAAATAATAAATATACTATTGTTCATTGTTAGTTCATGTTCATAACAGGTGAACTAATTTTAAATAATTTATACATCTTGAAAAGTTAAAATGTATTCAGGTATATACAAATAAAAAAGGCAATTTAGATTAAAATTAGATGAATAAATGCTGTAACGTTTTTTTATTAATTGTTTCATGTTGATTGTAGCATTAACTGATGTTAACATATATAACTTTATTGTAAAATATAACTGATTTATGTTTTGAAACTTCCTGGAATTGATCTTCAATACTTTACCTGAGCTCAAACACACAAACAATTCTTCCATATCTACATATCACAAAAAAATGTGGCAAATATTGCTATTTGTGTATAATGGCGTATGTTCCAAAAGGTACTGTATGCTATCTTAGTTCAGTTAAACCTTATTTGGATCCTCATGTCATGACATTGTTAATCTATTGATCTTTCCTCTGTATATTAACAGTATTTCCCTCTTCCTGCAGTTTCTGGTGAAGCGTGGTGCAGACCTGTTTGCAGAGAATGAAAACAAGGAGACCCCATGTGACTGTGCAGAAAGGCAGCACCATAAGGAGCTTGCACTTAGTCTGGAGTCTCAGATGGTCTTCTCCACTGACCCCCATGCAGAGGATATTGATGCAGAGTATGCAGCCTTAGACCGCAGGGAGGTGAGCTCTCCAAATAAACTCTGGAATTTCTTGTGACATTAACATTTGCCTCAAGCCCTGGTGTCCAGATGTGTCAGATTTTAATCTGCATTTTTTAGACCAATAAAAATAGAAGAGTTTGATGCAGATGTCTGAATACTGATTTCCCTCTTGATTCAATGTTTAACACGTAACCGTGTTACTGTGTTTCAGTTTTATGAAGGTTTGCGAGTGCAGGACCTCAGGAGACTGAAGGACATGTTGATAGTTGAGACGGCAGATATGTTGCAAGCTCCTCTCTTCACCGCAGAGGCTCTTCTTCGGGCTCATGGTACGATTGTGTCAAACACTCAAAGATATTATATTCACTGCTGTTGGCTGGCCCAAATTGAATTTTGGTAAAATTTGTTGAGAGTTGGTAGCTGAAAACTCTGTTTGGTTTGGTTTGTTGGTAACACTTTAGTATAGGGACCAATTTTCATTAACTAGTTGCTATTATAACATATTGGCTGTTTATTAGTAGTTATAAAGCACATATTCTGCATGATCATATTCTACATCCCTAATCCTACCCAATACCTAACCTTAACAACTACCTTACTAAATATTAATAAGCAGCAAATTAGTAGTTTATTGAGGCAAAAGTCTTAGTTATTGGTTTGTTAATAGCGATAATTGGACCTTATAATAAAGTCAAGTCAAGTCAAGTCACCTTTATTTATATAGCGCTTTTAACAATACAGATTGTGTCAAAGCAACTGAACAGCATTAATTAGGAAAATTGTGTGTCATTTTGCATCATTGACACACAATTTTCCTAAAGTGTGACCGGCTTGCTTGTTCTGGTTTGGTTTTGTTTGGTTTATTCTGTTCTGTTGTTTTGTTTTTTTTGACAGCCAGTGACCATCATGCCTTTGTATTTTATGGAAAAGATCAGCTTTGACATTTTGGTTACACTTTAGAATAGGGTTGGGTATCGTTTTTTTTTTTTTTACGATACCGGTGCCAAATCGATACTTTTAAAACGGTACCAGTGCCTGAACCGATACTTGAAAAAATTAAATAAATGCCCAAAATAGGATGGATTGGCCATTGTTGAGCGCTATAAACACATTTAATGTCTGTTTTATTCATACTGGACTCCAGAGGGCGCCCTCGCGCAGAAACTCCACATGTGCATCACAGAAGTAATAGGACTCAGGAAATCCCTATACTCTTTGCTAATATGGACAAAAAGTATATTTATAATCCATTGCTAATCGACATAGTCTTTTTACCATATGCTTTTTACAGTATAGAACCTATTTTCTGCCTCATTCTGTGACAAGAAGCCACATCAGATCACAAAAAGAAGCAGTTGTGGAGAAAAACGTTATAGTGTTCTCTTTTGTTGGATAACAGGTTTAGAAACGCTTCTCATTGCAAGTCATTACAAGGGAAGTTTAGCTTTAGGCATTTTAATTTAAGAATGTTTAGCTTAGCTAGCTAACGGTATCTGCCTGCTGCCATCAGAGCAAGTGTAATTGCTGCATTCACGCGCTCCTCAGATGCTTTCATTTCCCGAGTTGTGCTTTTAAGTCGGAATGTGAAAACAACATGGACACTCACGTTACTACAAAGATGTGTTGGATTTGTATTATTAGAGCTTTCCGACTTGCGTTTGTGAATTTTCTCAGTCGAGAAATTATTTTTCACGTGCGGTGCCGGTGATCCTTACGTCCGTTTCGGAGAACAAATATTTCAATCGACCGCTCAAGCATTTAAAGGCACAATATGTAATGTTCGCCGCTAGAGGGCGCGTATTCAAAATAAACAAAGAGACAAAGGCGTAGTTTGATGACGCCGTGACTGAGTGTGGAATCATGGGAGTTGTCGTCTTCATCACCACAGCCGATGCAATCTGACGGGACTCGGGCAGAAATCATGTTCATGGATGAGCTAATGATTTATTAACGTAGTAGAATGAAGCAGGGTGAGGCTGAAAGCCGTTGAAGAGAAACGAGGCCCGCTGAACGAGCGTGACACACGGCTCGAAAGCAGCAGAGCTTTTATTATGCCACAGTCGACTGCTTCCGCTCCTTCCGGTCGTGCGTATGTGGGAAAAAAAAGCAGCGCTGTTTTATCATACTAGATACGTTTGAAAGTTCTGTTATAATGCTACTCTGTGCGGTCGTCACCTGTCTAATAAAACGCACAACATATTAAAGTGTCTTTGGTGTTTCCATGTTTTCTACAAAACAAAACCGGAAATTGAGGGGCTATAACGTCATTGGCAGGCGACACAATGACACTATGGACACGCTCCGTGTCACTAGTTAAAATTGCTTATTTCTCTGGATTTAAACATTCTTTGAAACATTTGGGATAATGTAACTACACAAGTCAGCAAAATATATAACACTGTTCTAGTGGTTTTTGGATATTTTAATTAAAAAAAATCTTACATATTGTGCCTTTAAGTGGCACCGAAATGAGGCACCGAAATCTGCGTTCTGATTCGGTTCTAGTACATACCGGTTATATAGACCCTACTTTAGAATAGGGAACACTATTTACTATTAACAAGTTGCTTATTAGCATGCATATTACTAGCATATTGGCTGTATAATAGTACTTAAAAAGCACATAATGCCTTATGCTACATGACCATATTCTAGATCCCTTAACCTGACCACATGCCTAAACCAAACTACTACAACAACTACCTTACTTGCTCTTAATTAGCTTCAAATTAGTAGATTTATTGATGGAAAACCTCAGTTAATTGTGAGTATGTGTTCCCTTATCTAAAGTATTATGACATTTTTATAGTTACTCCTTTTTCGGAGTCTTACACATGAAATGTGGGGGGAAAAAACTATATTGTGGCCCCAATTGAACTAAATTAAAATGAGGGACCAAACTAGTATATTCTGGCACGATTTAACTAAAACAATGGAATGAATTATTAAAACATGACCACCAATTCATTTGTGGGAACATATTTTTAATTTGTCTTTTTTTTTCTCCACAAGAAAAAAAGTCATTTGATTGACAAGTGACTTGAGCACAGGTAAATGATGACACAGATTTAAGTTTAAAGCAAATCATCTGTGGAAGGTGTGAGTTGATTGGACTGACCAACTTTCACTGTGTTTAGGACACTTTTGTTTTTTCCTAGAATCATCAAACACACTTGACTCAAAAACCTGATAAGGCTTGTAATTTGCTTTGAACGGATACAGTGCTTCTGACTATTATTTAGCAAACAAACATGCAAATTTGTAAAACTTTGTGTGGGATGGCCGTTTGAATTCTGTGTACATCTGTGGGCACATATTCTGTGCAGGCCTGCTTATTAGGTTCATTCTGACGCAATCCTTCCAGTTCCTAACTCATGAAGAATATAGCTTCATGTGCATTTACAGCTGTTGGAAACAGGTATGGTATTGTCCTTGGAGGGATCTGAAAAGCATCCATGCTCACAAAGCAGACCTAGATGCTTCCTTCCCCTTAATTTTACAAGAGCACTCTTGTTTAGAGCTGCTAAACTCTCTGGCACTAGACTCATAATTGGATCAGTGCTTTCTTTAATAATCTCCAATTATGTGAGCAGCCTGTCTAGCAGGCCTTGTTCCAGATGACTAGAGCCCATGGGAGAAAAGGGCAGAGCTCTGATTCATGTGCGCTGCTATTATTGCCACGGCCTCTCTGGAGACCACCAGCCGAGGCTCAAATATGCAGTTTCACCTTCTTTTAATCTTAAACCCAAATTCACACTCTTGACTCCTGAAAATACGATGGTAGAGCACAAACAGTTGGGCTAGCAGGTGTAATGCACTTTGAGGATTTTCATTTGGGAAAATCTGACCTCTTTCTTTGGAAGCAAGTTTTATTTGGTTGTATTTGTTTGTGTTTGGCCTTGGACTTTAGACTGTTATCTTGCTTTTAGCGTCTGGAATCTGTCTCCAGGATTTCCTCTGGGAAGTGTCATTTCTTATCTTTTCTTACCCCAGCACACTTCATCGATGTTGACCGATAAGTTCATTCAAAGATATCAAAGTATATGTCCTTTTTATATGTCGCCACCATCTCTTGAACTAGAGGAAGAGGAAACTGGAGCCTAAAAAAGAAGTGAATGTCTTTGCACCTTTTAAGTAATGAATGTCTTGACATGCATTTTAATGGTTACTCATTATTGCTAAAAGCATACTTCACTTCCTTTTTTTCCTCCCATGTGGGAGTATACCAGCCATGACTGGCAGGTTTCATATCAAGACAAACAAGTGCTCTCATATCATGTGGGAAAACAACCTACTGAACATCTGGGTAGGTTTTTCAGCCCAGAAGAACAGCCTTGTTTAAACTCTTGAATCAGCTACAAATTCCACTGAAAAAGCCGTTTGATAGGTGAAATAATGTGCATTTTTAGAATTGTGTGACTCTTCATTTTTTTTTTTTTTGCCATGCACACTGACCTAAGTTTCCCTTTGAAATTTAGACTGGGACAGAGAGAAACTCCTGGAAGCTTGGATGTCTAATGCTGAAAACTGCTGTCAGCGCTCAGGCGTTCAGATGCCAACTCCCCCGCCCAGAGGCTACAACACCTGGGACACCCTGCCCTCGCCCCGTACGCCTCGCACCACTCGCTCATCCATCACTTCCCCGGACGAGATCAGCCTGACCCCTGCTGATGATGATTGCTCCTTGGTGAGGGATCAGATTTGGTCCTCTATTAGTGATTGTACAGCCTCTTCTGTGGAGAATGATGTACAATAGTTAGTCTTAATGTAATAAAATTTAATGCTTAAGTGATACATTTGGGTGGTGTAGCCATGGGGATTGATCTGGGCTACTGATAGGTTGTAGGTTCAAATCTCCTAAACGGGATCAGTGAATTACAACCAGTGTGCCCCTGAAAATACATTTACCTCTACTACTATTTCTTAAATAGTGTTGTATGAAGGATACCAATCATAAATGTTTCTGTTCAAAATATTGTTACACAGTGCATATCTATAAATCCATATTCATACCAAGGTTGAACTTTCACCTACAGATAAACCTAAATATTTTTGTAGATGAAAATGTAGCCCTAACAACATTTTCTTCATATTTTGCATTTGCAAAAAGTTTTGTTTTTCTTAAATAAAACGCACAGGAAAATACAAACACTAATAAGTCAAATCGGCAATAATTCTATGATAGATTTTTTTAACCCATGTTGGGCTTCTAAGTTCCAATGATTAAATTCAGCCATACAAATATCTCAAATCAATTTATAAATTCAGATCCAAGTATCATTAGTTTTGTTGCTGCATCCTGTGCTTCTGACAGATTTGGGTTATTGTGTCATATTTGGGTTGTATGGTTCTGAAAAACCTGGAAAAGACATGGAACTTTAAAACAGCAATTTCCAGGTCTGGTAAAGTTTTGGAAAAATAAATAAACCCATAAATCTTTAGAAAAGGCATGGAAATGTATTTCACACATCTCTGTGTAATAGAATTATGCTTCATCAGGTCCCGAATTTCAGTGAGGGATTGCGCATATATCGCATAGTTCGCATAGTTATACTCATTCATGCAGATTACGATTTTAAAATGAGGGAAATTCCTGCACACCTTTATTCAACATGTAGGTTAGATAAGTGTAAAAATATACACATCTGTCAGATTACATCAGTCATTTGAAAACCATGTGAGTGATTCAGCTGTACAGCGTCTTCTCTCTTTCACTCTCTCAAAGTTGCTTCACATCGGCGCATCTCATCTGCACTACAAGAGCTGCTGCACACCGCGATACAAAACTTTCACTCGCATTTCGGGACAGTTGACAGAACTGTCACTTGCCTAATAGCATCATTGTTGCATTGTCACAAAGATGTATCATTTGCATCTTTTAAAGTCTTTTTAAGCCATTCAGTACTTGCATGCTCCAAAGGCGGTTTTCTGTGCACTCAGTTAGGCCTGGGCGATAAAACGGTATCAATATTTATCGACGGTACACCTTCTTCGATATCGATAGAAAAAATGATCGATATAGTGCACGATATAGGCAAAACCGAAACCAAGCCATTCACACACAACGCATATTCAGCGCATTTTTAGACAGACAAATATGACTGCTGCACTCACGTCTCACACAAGAGATGTATAGAAAGCCATGCAAAGTTAAAACAGTTTAAACTTTTAGAAAACAGTAGCATTAATAGTCATCTTAGTTATGATAAATTTGAATGCATTTTTATTCTTGTAAAATAATGCAACATTAGGTCATTAATATTTTCTCAAAAGTCATGGAAAGGTCATGGAAATTTATTGGTAAAAATGTGTATGAGTGCTAAAATGACAGATTAGTTAAAAGGTACGTTGATTTGGACACAAACTTACCAACATATCACACAGTATTGACTATAATTTCTAAGAGACCTGTTGCTTTGTGAAGCGAGCTTGGTTCATGAGCGATCACTCTCAGTATGTCATAGCACGATCGGTTCTTTCATGTATCAATAAAAAGCCTGACCCTGTAGCCTAAAAATGGGTGCATGATCACCACTTTCACAATAATGCCACAGTCTATGCTAGAAACAAACTTGATAAGCATTAAATATGCACGAGGAGTTTGACAAAATTTCTTGGATAGTGTAGTTTGTCATGAGATGAAATGGCCAAACGTCGTTTCATCAAATGTTTATTATTCTGACCCATTTTATACTGCTTCATGTATAGAATGTATTTGATAGCTAGGTATACTATGTAGATATTTTCTCACAAATGTTGTTTTGTTCTCCGCTGTCAGTGCGGCATTTGTATGTGTGCAGCCTCCATGTTTGAGGAGCCTGTTGATATTCCATGTGGTCATGAGTTCTGCAGAGGATGCTGGGAAAGGTGAGGGTGTTTTCTTTGGAGACTTTGATTCAGTGCTTTAGTCACATTACAATCACCGTCAGTTCTCACTACTGCTGTAACGGTCATGTGTACTTTGCCCTTGGCAGTTTCCTGAATATGAAGATTCAGGAGGGGGAGGCCCACAATATCTTCTGCCCAGCTTTTGACTGCTTCCAGCTGGTTCCTGTTGAGATCATTGAGAGCATTGTGTCCAGAGAGATGGACAAACGTTATCTGCAGTTTGACATCAAGGTATAATTGCATGATTAGATACACATTAGTCTTAATTATGTTCATAGATACTGTTGTAATTGTATTGTTCAGTGATGTGGTGAGTTAAACAGGAAGATAGATTAAGCAGTTCAGCAGTCAGTCAATATTAGGCCCCAGTTTTGATTCAAACCCTGTGATTCTGCGTTCATAGGTGGTTTTCCAGTCACACAGATCAGTCCTCTCAGTGAAGTTTATGTGTTTAGTGTTATTGTGAAGTCGTCAGTCCAGAACGGTGGAGCATTGAAATGGGAGCTGAGAGGGTTGAAGTAACTGTAACAATGGCAGTTCTCATTTAAGAATGTCTGAGAATGACACTTCTCACGCTGTGGAGTCCCAAGCCTTTCATTATGTTGCCATGGTGATGTTGAATCTTCCACAGGGGCGTCTGAGCTCTGTTGTTGCCATTTGTAGGGTCAGAGTGTACTAACGGACTTCTGGAGTTGTTGGTAAAAATTAACTCAGATCCCAGCATCATAAATAGACTCAGCAAATTAGATGAACCGAAAAGGACAAAATATTTGTAGTTTTTGTTTAATCAGCGAAGTTTTATGGCAAATTCTCAAAACTTTACATGACAGAAAGTTCAGAAATCATTCAGTTCCATCTGATAATGATTAATATTTAAGGCATAATGTACAGCCAGCTGATCATTTTATTGCAGAATAAATCCTGAGAGAAACCTGGACTATACTTTATTCTGCCTATTATTTACATGTACTTACCAAATAAATAGATATATACATGTGGAATTTTTACAAGTTACATTTTTTATGTATACTGTACACACCACAAATCAGAAGTTTGGGGTCAATAATAATAATAAAAAAAAGAAGTTCTTACTTTTTTTCAGCAAGAATGAATTCGGTTGATCAGAAGTGATTTAAAAGGTAATTGCAAATGATTTCCATTTCAGGTAAATGCTGTTGTTTTTAACTTTATATTCATCAAAGAATCCTGATTTAAAAATGTATCATTGTTTCCACAGAAATATTAAGCAGCATAATAAGAAATGTTTCTTCAACAATCAGCATTTTAGAATGATTTTTGAAGGATCATGTGACACCGAAGACTGGAGTAATGGCTGATGAAAATTCAGCTTTGCCATAACAAGAATAAACTACATTTTATAGATTAAAATATAAACCAGTTATTTTAAATTGTAATAATTTCACAATATTGCTGTTTTACTGTATTTTGGATCAAATAAATTGATCAGTCTTGGTGGGTATAATAGACGTATTTCAAAAACAAACACAAAAAATATTTTCACTCCAAACTATTGAACAATAGAGTAGTATAATAAAACAAAATAAGTTTAAATATTTTTAATGTTAATCAGCAGTTCTATTTTAAGTTACCCCTATCTAACTTTTTGTATCTCTTGCTGGTTTGTTGTTCTTATAACCAATGATTCTGTTTTATGGCTTTAATTTATTATTTGAAAATTAGCACTAAAGTCCTTCAAGGCTATTTTTACTAGAGCCAGAAACCATTAAGTAAAGAATTTGCTATTCTATTCAAATTTTTGTTGTTAAGAAAAAAGAGGACATGAGATAAAAGTTGCATGTTGCCGTCTAAAATTGTCAAATATGCAGTTCAGTAATTTTATATCAGAATCAGAGAATTGCAGAGAGCCACATATTAAAAGAATAAGGCAGTGTTTTGCATATTAAATGCCCCCCTCACTTGCTTTCTCCTCTATTCTTTCTCCGTCCTCCTCTTTACTCTTTTTCTTGTTCTTCCTCAGGCATTTGTGGAGAATAATCCTGCCATCCGGTGGTGCCCGCGGGCTGGCTGTGATAGAGCAGTGCGATTGGCCGGACAGGGGCCAGGTGCCAGCACCTCTGACCCTCTCAGTTTCCCTCGCCTCCAGGCCCCTGCAGTGGACTGTGGCAAGGGCCATCTTTTCTGCTGGTCAGTGCCAGTTACTGATACAAATCTCTCAAGTCATTATACCATTATACCATTTGTAATTCTGAACGAAATCTCCAGTTCACGGCATAATTTAACATGATTTAAAGGACAGATATTAATAGTATTGAAATAATATTAGTCGTATTTCTAAATAATAATAATAATTCATTACATTTATATAGCGCTTTTCTAGGCACTCAAAGCGCTTTACATTGTCAGGGGGTATCTCCTCATCCACCACCAGTGTGCAGCATCCACCTGGATGATGCGACGGCAGCCATAGTGCGCCAGAACGCCCACCACACACCAGCTTATTGGTGGAGAGGAGACCGAGTGATGAAGCCAATCAGTAGATATGGACTCATATTCTGCACTTAGTTATTTTAGCAGTGCAAATTATGTTAAAGAGACATTGTCGAAAAGATCACACATGTTACATACATATATATAAATGAAGGAAGAATGTGTGTTTGTATGTATGTTCTGCTCACAGTGGTCTCTGGCGATGCAGCTGGCTGAGTTTCTCTTTCCCACAGCTCTGGCCCTTATGTCCCCAACACACAAACACATAGACATATACACACACTCACACAGTGGGCTCGTATCTCATCACTGCCTGTGCCAGATCTGAGCATTACATTTGAGTCAAAACACCCTCCCCTCTCTCACACATTTAATCTGTCTGAGTGAATATGGACTGAATCTAATACGTAAGAGGCTGCCGTTTAAAAGGCGTCTGTGGTTAACAGTCTGCCAGCATTGTTTTATTTCAGTGGTTCTCAGCTGGTAGGTCACCATTCTGTCCTAATTGGGTAGTAGATATCAGGGAAAATACAATGCTAAATGTTAAACCAGAACATCTCAAACTCCTGAACCTGGAGTGTACAAGGAACTGATCGAAACATTTGTTACATCACACCATGTTAATATGTCAGCATAAGTTAATCTTTCACTCATGTTTGACACACATATTTATCCCCACAAGCCATTCCACCACCAACAACTAAAATGCATGGAATAGAAATAAAATATTCACTAGAAATGGAATTTCCTTCAAGCTTAGGCCTGACGTCACACTTGTGTTTCTCCTCACAGGGAGTGCCAAGGAGAGGCCCATGAACCATGTGACTGCCAAACTTGGAAGATGTGGCTCCAGAAAGTCACTGATATGAAACCAGAAGAATGTGAGCCTGTTTTGCTGTACTTTAAGTGACTACTAAGATAAATATCCTAAAGTAATGTTCCTACCTGTCCAAAAATGGTTTTGGACCTCAAGCAACTTTATTTCTGTCTTTTTCCATTTCAGTGGCAGGTGTAAGTGAGGCATATGAAGATGCTGCCAACTGCCTGTGGTTACTCAGCAACGCCAAACCCTGTGCCAACTGCAAATCTCCCATTCAGAAGAATGAGGGCTGTAACCACATGCAATGTGCCAAGGTTATTTGTGTTATAATAATAGATTTATGTATATACCAGTAGGCCTGTCGCAATAATCAATATATCGACTTATCGCGCAATTTATGTACATGACCTCAATAATTTTTGGTGATGCAATATATCGCCCATTATATTTACATAAAAATTAATGTCACCATATTTTGTACATTCCACTTGCGCCTGTGTCTTTTGCAGCTTCTCGTACATAACGTTGTGTAGTCATGAGGTGCTAGTTCAAATTAAAAAAATGCATCTACAAAAAAAGTTTCATCTGCAGGTATGATCTTGTTTAGGGACCTGTGCCTTTGTGCATACAGACATCTGACTGCTATAGTGATTGTGTTTTTCAGCAATAGTGTGCACCGTTAATTTACAGAGTTTTTCAGAGGTGTAGAGTGCAGGGTTGACAAGAGAGTTGGTGTGAACTTTGGAAGTGAACAAAGGGTCAAACATGATACCAAGGAAGTTTGAAAGGTATTGACAAAAACTTTAAAATCAATACACAAATCTGAGTTTCGGCCCACTTACTTTTAAATCTCCTTTGTATGTGTTTAGTTTAAGAAAATTCCCAGTGCCACTGACCGAAATGAGTGGGAGGGTGTGTATCCAAACAGGTGGTAGAATAAATCTCAGCAAAGCAGTGATAACTGAGACCATGATGGTTGGTGATAAATACACGTGGCAAACAAAAGTTTATAGATTATGAAAACGAAGGGGCCAAGAACAGAACCCTGGGGGACTCCCTGAGTGGAAGAGTTTTGTTTCTCAAAATAAATGAAATATTATCTTCCAGTAAAAGTAAACCAAGAGGGAATTGTACCAATATGGCTGTGAGCCTTGAAAAGGGTAAATCAAGACTGTCAAAACTGGAATTTTGGATGAAAACCTGATTGGAAGGGTCAGTGAGGATTATTAGAAAGCATTGAATTTACGCTTTGCTGCTTGTCACTTTTTATGTTAGGACAATCATAATTGAATGTTAATAAGGTTTCTAAAGTTTTGCCTCCGTAACAGTGGATTGATGTTAAATCATTTAAAAAATAATTGATGAGGAAATCTTGATAAATCTCTGTTTAAAGAACAAGAAATGTTCAAGAAATGTGTGTGTGTGTGTGACTTAGGAAGAAATGCATTACTGTTAATTCAATCTTGATAATCCTGCAACATGGTTACTAAACAGGGAAAGACATTGCAAATACTAGCACTCAAAAAATAAAAAGTGAGAGATGGTTTCCTAGCAACACACTTAATCCTTGCTGTCAGAATCCCACAACTCCCAGTGTGCTGCCTGCTAGACTGCCAATATGCATTTGCTAGTGACATAATAAAAGTAGACCAATGGTTTGTTTTAATGTATGTGTTGTTAATCAAGAATATATGTGTGTACAGTGCAAGTATGATTTCTGTTGGATCTGTCTGGAAGAGTGGAAAAAGCACAGTTCCTCTACAGGAGGTTACTACCGCTGCACACGCTATGAGGTCATTCAGCAAGTGGAGGAGCAGTCTAAAGAGATTACCGTTGAGGTACATATTCTTACATACAGTGGGTACGGAAAGTATTCAGACCCCCTTAAATTTTTCACTCTTTGTTATATTTGCTGTTTTGTCTGTAAGAGTTATTCTAGAGTTTTTAATAATGAAGAAAGAAAAAGATCTCACAACTGAGTATGGCTGAGCCTGCACATTTACACACACTTTTTTTTAATTTGTTTGTTTTGTATTTTGCAGGCTGAGAAGAAACACAAGAACTTCCAGGAATTGGATCGCTTCATGCACTATTACACACGGTTTAAGAATCATGAGCACAGCTACCAGGTAAAAAAAAGTCTACAAAGATCTGCCTGATTTGACATAGTCGTTGACTAAATGCCATGAAGTCTGGTTCTCAATGTAGCTTAGTCTGGCCAAAAACCACCTTGACTGGAAGAAATCATCTGGATACAATTTAAACCAAATAACCACCCACCGTTTTTTTTTTTTTTTTACTTGCCGTTTATGCATCATATGGTCAGTAAACAGACATTTGGCAGTATGTGGACTGACATTAGTTGTGACATGATGACTCAAATGGTCTTTATCTGTATTATCTTTTCCTACAGCTGGAAGAACTTCTGCTTAAAACGGCCAAAGACAAGATGGAACAGCTTAGCAAAGTTCTGAGTGGAAGTAAGATGCAAAACCTCAAGCATATAATCAATGTTAATAAATTTTTTCTAAGCTATGTTAATGCATGGTCTACCATGTATCAGTTGGTAAAATTTACAGAGTGAAAGTGCTCTATAGAGAATTAAACTTGCTTTTCCATTCACACAGTGATTCCTTCTACATTTAGCAGTAGATCAAGTTTAATACTTGTTGTAGACTTTTTTTAAATTAGATTTTAACTCCTATATTGTATTACTGTGTTGTTGCAGGAGAAGGCGGACCTCCAGATACTACTTTCATTGAAGATGCAGTGCATGAACTACTTAAGACTCGTCGTATTCTCAAGTGCTCTTACCCATATGGGTTCTTTTTGGAGCCCAAAAGCACAAAAAAGGAAATATATGAACTTATGCAGGTTAGTAACACACATGGTAGTTATGGGAAATGCTTACCGTGGACGTTCTGCGTTAGCGACAACTTAATACTCTTATTCCTCTTGTTAGACTGACTTGGAAATGGTGACAGAAGATCTTGCACAGAAAGTCAACCGGCCTTACCTCCGCACACCTCGTCATAAGATAATCCGCGCTGCCTGCCTGGTGCAGCAAAAGAGGCAGGAGTTTTTGGCCTCTGTGGCAAGAGGTGTGGCACCAAATGATTCGCCTGAAGCCCCTCGACGCAGGTAAGAGCCTCTTCCTGAATTACAGACTGCTTAAAAATAAACAAAAAAGCAAAATAGAAACCTTGAAAATTATATTTTAAAAATAGATTTTTTAAAAATAAACAATAATGAAGATGTGTGAAGATGTGTGTTTTAATGGTCAACATTTTTTTGAAAATGTAAACTTTTGTTGAAAACCGTATAAAAAAACATATGAAACTTTATAGTTTAGTTTTAAATTATATTTTTAAAAGACATAGAAAACACATTTCTATGAAGTAAAAGGGATATTTCACCCAAAAATGAAAATTCTGTCATTTACTCACCCTCATGTCGTTCCAAACCCGCAAGACCTTCATTCATCTTCGGAACACAAATTAAGATATTTTTGAAATCCGAGAGCTTTTTGATCCTCTATAGACAGCAATGCAACTGAGACGTTCAAGGCCCAGAAAGGTAGGATGCATCATCCTACCTTTGATGTCACACCACTGATGTCACATGGACATCGTTAAAATAGTTCATGTCACATCAGTGGGTCAACCGTAATGTTATGAAGCTACGAGAATACTTTTTGTGCGCAAAGAAAAGAAAAAGAATGAATTTATTTAACAATGTTTTCTCTTCTGTGTCAGTCTTCTATGCGCGTTCACGAGAGTACAACAACGTATGCGTATGCATTCCTCTGACTGAAAACAAGGCGCAGCACATCCAGGTTCTATGTCAGAATGCCGGCTTCTGCGTTAGCTGCATCATACGCATGCGTCGTGGTACTCTCGTGAACGAAGACTGACACGTAAGAGTAGAAATTGTTGAATAAAGTAGTTATTTTTGTTCTCTTTGCGCACAAAAAGTTATTCTTGTAGCTTTATAACATTAAGGTTGAACCACTGATGCCACATGGACTATTTTATTGATGTCCTTACTACCTTTCTGGGCCTTGAAAGTTTCAGTTGCCTTGTCAGAAAGCTCTTGGATTTCATCAAAAATATCATAATTTGTGTTCCGAAGATGAACGAAGATCTTATGGGTTTGGAACAACATGAGGGTGAATAATTGACAGAATTTAAATTTTTGGGGTGAACTATCCCTTTAAGGTAAATTTGGTCAATAGGGTTTTGATTTACTACTGTATTTTAACAGTAGTACTGTATTTCTTAAAAGTGACTTTTCATTTGTAACGCAGCTGCACCTGCAGTCTAACAGTGTATAGGATCACATGGAACCTACTTTTTTGCGTTTGCAGTTTTGCTGGTGGGACATGGGACTGGGAGTACTTGGGTTTCGCTTCTCCTGAGGTAACTCTTTTGTTTGGTTTGTTTTGAGACTTTGGGAATAGCTTGTGTCTTTGTTAAATCTACTTAGCTGGTGCCTGAAGTTTTGGCAGTGCATATCGGCCTATAGAACAAGATGTAGTCCTGTTGCAGCAGTTGTGAATGTGTAAAGACCTGTAATGTTGAACAGTGTACCGCTATTTTGTTCTAATCTAAAGATCCAGAGGAATCATGCCTTTCTCGGGGGAATTGATCCGAGAGAGCACTGTCAGTATACAGGAAGCCATCCGCAGGTATTAAAGAATCCTCATTAGATCCCATCTCAGGAACGGCTAAACAAACAGTGGAATGGTGCCTATCATGTACACTCCATCACTAATGTCATTGTCCACTTTTTTTTGGTCGCATGTTTTATTTTTTCTGTTCATACTCTATTGCAGCTGTTCATAGATTCCAAACGATTGCTGTGCATTCCAGATTACGAATTCTGATGCCGTTCATCTGGAAAGTGAGATCTTTTTCTTTTCTGTTAATGTATCCCGACATAGTCTTCTAAAAGATGCCTTTGGTGTTGTAACTTCAAAAGGAAGTTTCCTGCTTTGACTGTTCCATGAAAGGTCATGAAATATGCGTTTTTGCAGACGTTCCAAGGTGAACCAGTCTATCACTTCAGTCTGTATTGCTAGTCGCTGCTCTTCTTTTGAAATTATGTATGCAGGCTATGGCACAGTTTCATTTTGCTCTGGATTTATGGCTTGTAGAAAGAGGAATAATAGTGATGCACTTTATTCAACTTTTTTATTATTGATGCTTGAGCAGTACCTCTCAGGAATGTTTTCTTTGAGTTTGCTGCCGTTATTGCATGCTTACTGCATGCAGCTTCAGTTTGGTTAAATTTAAGACTTTTTTTTTATTTTTGGGAGTTTGTCGACCTATGGTGAAAATAAAGTTGGAAGAAGTGCAGTATAGAATATGATTGGTAATTAAATCTTAAATAGATTATACTGACACATATACACCGAAATGCCATATCTTGTTGGTTTTGTAGTAAATGGCATTACAGAGTGTCAGACTGTTTGGATATGTACATGATTCGCGGAGCTTAAAGGATTAATTCTCCAAAAATGGAAAATTCTGGCTTCTTTTACTCACCCTCATGTCGTTTCACTGTTTGTCTCTTTATTTTAATGGAATATAAAATGAGAACCTTTTAAAGGGGACACCGGATGCAAAATTCACTTTTACATGGTGTTTGCATATAAATGCGTCTTAGCAGTGTGTGGACACAACCACCCTACAATGATAAAAATCCATTCATTCTTTCAAAACCTAAACTGTCTCAATTATCAAGATGTTTTGATTTTTTGAGCAGTATGACGCTGACGGACTCCCCTGTATTAGCATATTTCCGTCTTCAGCCAGTTGTACTGTTTTGGCTTGCTATAATCAGAGCTGTTTTTGACAAGGTAAAAATTGTGTTTTTTTACATGACCGTTGAGGAATTTTTAACCAAAGTATTTTGCAGATATTTCATTTCATGAAGATCCTAAAGAATCATACCAACTTGTGGAAAATGGGCATCAGATGTCCCCTTTAATAATGCTGGTCACTATTTTTGATGCAGTTACACTGCCAGTCAAAAGTTTTTAAACACTAAGATTTTTAATGTTTTTTAAAGAATTCTCTTCTACTCACCAAGCCTGCATTTATTTGATCCAAAATACAGCAAAAGCTAAAGTTATATTTAAAATAACTGCTTTCTATTTGAATACATTTTAAAATGCAATGTATTCCCGTGATCAAAGCAAAATTTTCAGCATCATTACTCCAGTCTTCAGTGTCACATGATCCTTCAGAAATAATTCTAATATGCTGATTTTCTGTTCAAGAAACATTTTTTATTATTATCAATATTTAAAACAGTTGAGTAAATTTTTTTCAGGATTCTTTAAGGATAAATGCTGTTCTTCTGAACTTTCTATTTATCAAAGAAACCTGAAAAAATTATACTCAGGTTTTTTTTCAATAATAATAAGAATAATAATAATGAATGTTTTTTGAGCAGCAAATCAGAATATTAGAATGAATTCTTAAGGATCATGTGACTGGAGTAATGATGCTTAAAAATTCAGTTCTTTGAAATCGCAGGAATAAATTACATTTTAAAATATATTCAAATAGAAAACAGATATTTTAAATAGTAAAAATATTTCAAAATTTTACTGTTTTTGCTGTACTTTGGATCAAATAAATGCATGCTTGGTGAGCAGAAGAGACTATGTCCATATTATTATATTATATTATATTATATTATTATCTACATCTTCTGAAGCCATATTATAGGTTTGTGAGATTTTTTTACATTATTAAAAATGATCCTTAAGGGTTTTGAATGACAAGGTGAGTAATAATGCCATAATTTTCATTTTAGTTTTGAACTATTCCTTTTTGACTTTACTCAAAGCATCTGTCTGTTATTCTGACATGACGATGCCAACAGCCCTGAACTTTGATGCTGCTGCACAGCAGATTTCCTGTAGAAAGGTGTAGGCTTCCTCAGAGATTCTGACTTTTATTCACAGGGTCCAGTGGGAATGTTGGTACTCCTCTTGAAGCAGCTTTGAAATGGTGTTATGTGCGGTTTTGTGTTGTAGGCGTATGCTGAGTTCCAGTACAGACGCAGACACAGGCAGCTCAGGAGAGGAGACATGGCCAGCCTCCGCAGCAACACACCCGACCCTGATGACCCAGGCCACAGCACTTTAGGTATGTTTTGTGAATATGTTTTCATTTTGGTGCCCATATTTGCAGGTATATATACATATAAGAATTGCGGTGCTCCATAGTTGAAGCAGCTGCAAGTAAAGTTTCAGGATTTTTTTTTTGCTGGAGTCACACTGGACACTGGAGTCAGCAGAAATTGTACCATAAACCCATTTATCACCACTTTCTTTTGCAGTATGGACTTTTTTTAAGGAATATAAATGAATGGGGTGAATTTCTTGCTCATTGTTTGAGAAAATATGTCTGTCAGGCCTGATGTTCTGCATATGATGACATGGCAAACTAACAACACTTTGTAAGTCTGTAAATCTGACGGAATCCAAATCCAAAACACTTCTTTTGTCTTTGAAATAAGGCTGAAGTGTACTGCCAAATGTACTGACAAGCATTTATGAAAACTAAAATATACTTTAATATAATTTCTATTCAAACGTGTGATATAAGTATATGTTTAAGTAGAATTGTAGTTACACATTTTGTACTGATGAAGTTGCCATTTAGTAGATTTAAAATATATTAACTTCAAATGTAATATATAACACTGTGTTTAAAATTATACAATGATTTCAAATATAAAACATTTCATTTGACATTATTACAAAGTGCAAGTGTGTTAAGAAACAGTCATGAACGAGCAAGTACATTTAAATGTTTTTTTAATTGTTTAATTAATATTAAGATAATAAGATTTGAAGTGTACTATAAGTGTGCATTCAATACAGGTAAATGCACATCTATTTCATAAAAGATAGTTCAGATTAAGTACATTTACTTGTTTGATTTAGTGCTGTCAAACGATTAATCCATCCAAAATAAAAGTTTTTGTTTACATAATATGTGTGTGTGTGTACTGTGTGTATTTATTATAAATGCACATACATACAGTATATATTTTGAGAATATTTACATGTATTTACGTTTGTATATTTATATTCATATAATTTATATATATATATATATATATATATATTTAATATATAAACATAACATTTTTCTTAAATATATACATGCATGTGTATGTATTTATATATACATAATAAATATACACAGTACACACACACATATATTATGTGAACAAAAACTTTTATTTTGGATGCGATTAATCGTTTGACAGCACTAGTTTGATTTCATTCTTCTTAAAATGACATGTAAACACTTTAGTTTGACTGAAATCTTATGTCTGATTTTTGTGAAGTATTGCATCAAATATTTGCCATGTATATTTGGATAGACAGATGCAGACTGGAGCTCTTTACAGTAAGGTCTAATTTATCAATATTAGTTAATGCATTAACTAACATGAACTAGCAATGAGCAATATATTTCTACAGCATTTATTAATCTTTGTTAAATGTTACTTAGTGAAAATGTTCATATTCATGTTAGTTCCCATGCATTAATGTTTGATTTTAAAATGTATTAATAGATGTTGAGATTAGTGTAAAATTAATAGATGCTGTTCATTGTTAGTTCAAATTAACTGATGTATTTAACAAATGTTAACAGATGAAACCTTATTGTAAAGTGTTACCGAGCTCGACTACACAAAAACCCATGTAAAGATACTCAAGGTCACACTGCCGATGTATAATTTATGGCTGAAGGAAATACTCGGTGTGGTAACTGAGAAATCATGGCTTGCAGTGGGTTGCAAATCCTTGCGTTTTTCGCACTATCACTATTGATATTAATGATTTTGTAGTGAGTAGATATTCCTTGCTATAAAAAAAGCAACACTGCTCTAGTAATCCAACTAAACAAAAGATTTTCTATTTCTCTTCTCTTACAGACGCACAAGAAATTGGTGGTGGCCAGAGACCGGGTTTGCTCATGGTGAGTTGAGACCCTTTTAACAGAAGTTCTATGGTGGAACGTCACAAATCCTCCGCTGGGAGTAACTGAGTCTGATCTTATTCCCTTCAGCCTCGCTGTTCTCTAGATGAGGATGATCCCAATATCCTGTTGGCCATCCAGCTTTCTCTGCAGGAGTCTGGGCTGACTGCAGGCGGTGCTGGCGTTGATGCTCAAGAGATCCTCGCAAACGAAGCATCTCTGGGGGCCATCGGAACATCCCTGCCCACACGGCTGGACCCGGTGCTGTGCGGGATTGACGTGCCCCGTGCTGCCCTGAGCAGCTCCGAGCTGTTAGAGGTGGGTGACAGCCTAAAGAAGCTCGGTAATATCAGTGGCCAGAATGTCCCTCCACGTTATGACAATCTCAACAATCCTTCCTGTGAGTCCGCTGAGGGCCCCTTCCAAGCTCCTTCGGGACATACGGAAACCTCTGATTTAAGTTCAGACAACGCCAACCTTCTAGGCAACATCATGGCTTGGTTTCATGACATGAATCCGCAGAATATCAGTTTGGTTCCTTCGGCTGGTGATTTCGGCGTTCAGTCGGCGAGAATGACAACAGAGCCGACCGAGTGCGCCGTTCCGCAGTGGACACCGGGGGGCGATAGAGAGGCAGCGCACGAGTTCGACTCCGCTATCGAGCGTGAGCCCATCAGGCCGACACAGTTAGACCTGGTAGGTCTCGATATGTGTCCGGTGCCTCCTGCTTCGTCCATCGAGTTGGGCGAAACTCCGAGTGGTTTGAACCCGTGTCACTCCGACACCCTAAAATGTGACTCAGACCCCGACCAGCCTAGCAGTAGCTCCTCTGATTGGGAGGGTCAAGTACATCATGTATGAAAAACTGACTTCACTTACTAGCTAAGGCACTTTTTTGATGAAGTAGCTGAACCCGAGGAACAAGATTAATCATGACGAGAAGCTTTGTATTGTCAGATATGTAGTTTGAGTACTCGCTCAGGCCTTTGTGCTTATGAGGCATGTGTTGTTTGCTCACTAAAAAACTTGTTCCGATCCTGGAGTGTTAAACACTTCTAAAAGAGTCAGCAAATGAACCAGAAAGCGCTATGAAGGCGCGAATCTACTGTATAGTACAGGATGGTATTCAGCGCGAGCTCGCCTGATTAAAAAGGTTGTAAAAGATACTGTAGGTGCCAAAAAACACTGGCTAGCACACGCCGAGTGGACGGTGTGCTGATCGTGCCTGCTGCTGAGGGCCTAGCCGCCCTATCGAGTACGCTATCCTTCCTTTAAACTAGACCTGTAGTATTAGAGAAGTGCACAACAGCATCACGCTCAGAAGAGCTGGGCTGATAATCACAGAAACTAAAAGAAGAGTAATTCTAGTTGCAGTCGACTTTTCTTTTTCTGGTCAAACGTAATCACTGTAATCCGTCACCGGCTAATTAGAATGGAAAGTACCGGCGAGTTTAAACTCGATTCAGAAGCGCCGCGCCGGATCTGGAAAACGTTTTGTCTTTGCAACTTCTCACAGTGCCTTTTCTGTGAAACTTCTCTTTATTTATAGCCGCTCTCTTGCGCTCGAAGCCCAGAGTGGGGGAAGTTCCAATACAAAGCAAACTGAGCTCAATGTTTTTTAAAAGACATTTTTATACATGTTGGGTTGTCCTTTAGCATGCTTCTGGCCCCTTCTCCCGGGTTGTTTTTAAAGCAGTTATTTAAATGAACTTGGACACATTTACGGATTAAATCGATCTATATTTAATGAGATACTATTCATTGTGTGTTAAGATGTGATTTCCACATGGCCACATGTAAAAATTAAATGCTCAAATTTAAAAATGTAAAAATCCGTAGATGTTTTCCTGGTGCATCTCTAATAGAAATGTATGATTTTTGGAAAAGGCATTTCATTGTGATGGCCAGAAGCTGTTTTAGCTTCAGATTTACATTTCTACATATGGTGGAACTCACCCACAATTAAGATTTTTTTTACAATTAATTTAACTGTGGTATTTCTCTACAGTAAATTATGGAAATTAATTTTCTATTTATTTAAAATTGAATGTCCTTAAAATGAATGAAGATCAAGGTAAAGTTGGTGATGACAAAAAAAATTAATGAACGGCAATATATATTTTTATGTGTATATCAAACTGTAATAACACAGTACCACTTTTCAATATTTGCTTATTACTTAAAACGTGTCTGCTGAAATAATTGTTCAAAGCCTTTTAACCAAATGAACAGAATGTTTTTGATTTGCTTCAATTTAATTGCGAACACCTGCCCAACTTTTCATCTGATGAAACCGCTAAATCATAGCAAGTTTTAAGCACTTCAGAAAATTTGCACAAAATTAGCTCACATTTCAGCTATGGAATAACACGTTTTAGCTCATAGGTTTGCTGTTATATTGGCGATTTTGAGTGAGCAGGCGCCTGATGTTTTACTGTGGGCTTGATGTCATATGTGTGTTGATTCTGACCTAATGTCCGAATGCAGTATTGCACTGCATAAACTGAAAACGAAGGCAAACCTGTCCGTTAAGTGGTATTTTGTTATCATTCCATTCGTCAAAGTTTGGGGGAGTGCACACATGAATATTTTTCTGTAGGTACAGTTTGTATGTGTGATCGGAATGGGTTAAGCTCACTAAATCGCAGTATTTCTTCAGACTAATGTATGCCGCCAAAGGTGGAGGTGGAGCTAATGTCTGTTTAAATTAAGCATATGGTAGATCTGTCCAAACATGACAAAAAAAAAATGACAGAAGTTGTCCTGTATGTGACAGTATGCTGTGCATTAAGTAATTGTAATAAAAATAGATCATGTTTTCTTGACAAAAGACCGTTAAAGTGTCAAGGCTATATTGTTTGGGGGATTGGGTGGCTATTGTTTGTTGGGGGGGAGAAAAGCACATTTTGTAACCCATTACAGATTTTATATTGTTAAGCACCTAATTCTTGAAATGGTATTTGCACTTTCATAATCTTTACTTGATACATTCCCAATTTATATGGAAAATACAAATGTGTGATGTTTGGCCAATGAATTGGACCGATTTGAGTGTGAATCTTAATAAAGTTGCTAAGACAAGTTCAGCTGTAAAAGTGGTAGTATTCTTTGAACATAATAACATACAGTGAAAGCCCAGGTGCAATCATAATAATAATGACGTGTTGAATAAAAACTAGGCCTATTTAAAGGGATAGTTCACCCAAAAATGAAAATGTGATGTTTATCTGCTTACCCCCAGGGCATCCAAGATGTAGGTGACTTTGTTTCTTCAGTAGAACACAAACGAAGATTTTTAACTCAAACCATTGCAGTCTGTCAGTCTTATAATGGAGGTGAATGGGAATCATTAACCAAATTAAACCCTGCGGCTCGTGACGACACACTGATGTCCTAAGACACGAAACGATCGGTTTGTGCCAGAAACCGAACAGTATTTATAT